TTGGCTACTGCAGTTAGCACAAACGTAGTTTAAATGATCTAAATACTAATTATTTGATTGGAAAAATTATGAAGGAAATGCTTTTGCTGACATCCAGCCACATGAAGGAAATGTTATGCCAACTCATCATTTGATGACAATAAGATCTTTGATGACGTCATGCAAAATTCCTGATGACGTCATTATGAAAATACTGATGGAAGCAAATCATTCTTAAATATACATCAATTAAAAGCTTGCAACGAGACGAGCCAAAATATGTAATTTGCGTCAAAAAAAAACAACCCAGTAAAGAGCTAGCGACGATTTGTCTGATTTTTACCGTTAAATCACGTCATCAGTCACATGACACCCAGGCATTTTCCAAAAAGTCACCTGGCAGATTATGAAAGCCTGGACTCCCAACTACAAGATTCCGTTGAGAAAGCAAACATTAGCTTGAACGTCAGATTGTCAGGCTATATGTCCTGTCAAAAAGCTTTAGAAAGATCCATCAGGACTGCACCTACGAGGTAATCGTTGTCGAGGTTAGACCTCCAATCTTCAATCATTCGTATTAATACATGATGGGTGCCGTAAGCTCGTCTATAGGCCGCAATGAAAACAGAAAGTGTGTTATCTAAGTGTTGAGTCAGTTGTTGTTTCAGGACCTTTTCATATATCTTAGAAAAGGTATTAAGAACACTAACTGGGCGGAAATTTCTTTCCACCATGCGAATTGGTTCCCCCTTATCTAAAGGGCAGACCGAAGCCTTTTTTGCATCGTCTGGGAATCTAGAATATCGGATACTACAGTTTATTGCCATGGTTAGTGCGACTGTGAGTTCGTTAGAAGCTAGAGATACTAGCTTTGAGGGTATTTGATCCTATGACAGAATGCTTTCAGGGCACTTTCACGCTTTGGCATAGATTTTGATTCGGTAATCAAACGAAGACTTCAAAGACTTCGCCAACCATCTTTATAATCTGACAATTTGTCGACATCTAAGCCCACTTCTTCAAATTCATCGACATCAATTAGTTTATCTCATCTTCTGGTGTCGCTCTATTGACAGCACTGTCAGTAGGACCTTAGCCTGAGTTCCAGACCCCAAACTAGAAGTATTGGGCGTCTGGGGCTCAGGCTAGTAAGACCTATGCCCATGCAAGAATTTGGGAAAACTAGGGTTGTCCTTTTTCATAAAATCTCCATTCGTTTCAATATTTCGGTTTATGTTTTCGACACAAATACTTTGATAACCCGGCGAAGCAGTGAGAAACAAAGTGAACAAGTTGGATAGCAACGTAACTACAACTGCCAGAAGGCATTGCATGTGGCAACACCTGTGACGTGATAATGGGATCGGTCTATTTTCGACACAATATCGTTGAAGTGCTCCCGACCTAAACGGTGAAAGTTTCGAAACTTTTAAGGGTCTTCCGCGTCCAGTTGTTGCACTAAATTAGCGTAAGCTCCTTGCTTAGATCTTCTCCGAATCCATTTGTTTACCCACGTAGACCTTCTTGATCACGCTTTCGCCTATGACGCCTTCGTCTCAGCAGCAATAATGCCAACAAAGATTCTTCAAAAAATTCGGATCTGAATCCGATTCATCTCCACATTCATTGTCCATATTTGAAACCGGCCTAACCCTGCGTAGCCTCGGAGAGCGCGACGCCTGACGGAAGCTTTTAAAAGAGCTATTTTTGAGACTAATGACTACGCAAGATGTTTAGAAATAAAATCCACAAAACTTCGAACACTTTTGATGTAAATTCGTGTTATGATTAGTCGCTAGTAAACGCCGTATCTATATGTAAACAAAAGCCCGTGACAATTTTTTCACCCAAATTCTCGACCCAGTCTCTTCAAGCAAATTAAGCGCGTGGATATCAAAAAGGCGTATTCAAAGGGTGTGCTATATCGCTAAATCCGGATAAAAAACGTCTTTAATAGGAAACTATCCCTAAAAACGGCGTAATTCTGTATGATCCTTTGGAGTCTCATGATCTTTTATAGCGCGGACGTGCTCAGGGTCGGGGGCGAGTCCATTTTCCGAATGATGAAACCCAAAGATTTTTCTTCAGACTTCGCAAAAGAGCATTGGGAGAGTTTTAACTTTAGACCAGCTGTCTGAATTGCACTCAAAACTTCTCTAAGGTTTTCAAGATGTTCTTCAAAATTCCTTCCAGTTACTAGTACGTCATCCAAATAGACTAGGCATTTAGTTGGGGATAAACCTTCAAGTACTCTGCTCATTGGACGCTGAAGGGTAGGATGCATACGATTGAACTCTAACAATGAACCTCCAGGAATGACAAAAGCAGTTTTATCTTTACTTTTTTTCTTCCATCTCTACTTGCCAATATCCTGAGATCAGATCGAGGGCCGAAAAATAACTGACCAGATAAGTTGTCAATCAAGTCATTTACTTGCGGTAGAAGATAAGCATCATTGACTGTAACGTCGTTTAATTTGCGAAAATCAACACAAAAACGCCAGCTACCATCTTTCTTTCTTACTAACACTATAAGACTAGCCCAGGGTGATGGACTAGGCCTTACTTTTCCTTGCTCTAACATTTCTCGCACTTGTTCAACAACAATTGACTTAAGTGCGTCTGGGAGACCCCTCGGTTACTGTTTAACAGCTTTAGCATCTGATGTTTCAATTTTATGTTGTACTAAAGACATAGATCCAAGATCAGACAAGTCCTTTGCAAAAATGTCTTTATACCCCTGTGATAAATCAAATGATTTTTTTCCTCTGTGTTTAAATGACTCAATTCAAAGCAGGAATCATCTAGTTTTCTTTTCATCTAGTTTTCTTTCGTAATCTTCCTTCCAACGAGGGTCATTCATTTTAATATTTATGATCGGCTAATGTGAACAATAGGTCTTCCCGCCTTAAAGGATTTGGCTGGCCTAGCTGCGATAGTGGACGACAATCTTATTGCCATTACTGATAGCTTTTTGCCTAATGCGAGCAGAAGTCTGACAAACATGGTTGATCATGAATTTTGTTGGTGTGAAGGCTGATTTCCACTAGGCGAGTTTTTTCGCGCGAATCGGATAAATTTCGTAGCGATAAAGTAGGACCGTGGTCTACTTTCTGCGAAACGAATTTTTTCGCTGCGAAATTTGAGAACGTGATACCACGCATACTCACATTGGAAAAAATTCGATTCGCGCGAAAGAATTCGCCTAGTGGAAATCAGCCTTGAGATGCGACATTTCTTTTGCCAAAAATTAATGACCCACGCCATAATTCACCTGCTATTTTTTCATCACAGGCTGTTGTCACCTGCATCCATATTGCTTATGACCACGCCATAATTTCCATACTATTTTTTTCATTCCAGGCTGTTGTCACCTGCATCCATGTTGCTAATGTTGATTACAGTTGAAAACTTGTAAGGGGCTCCTCCACCCCGAGAGCCTGATCTCCGGCTAGGGATTTGACAGCAAAAATAATTTCGGGGAAACTTTACCCCCGTAGTCGGTAATCACGGTCAAATCCCTAATAGAATGTTTATCTTAATGTTGTCATAAAATAAATACCGTGAGAAATACCATAATGAAAACTTCTAAGTAGACTTAATTAGGCCGTAAGGTGAATTGGTGTATTGCGATGATATAGACGCGCCGAAGGCGCTTGATGTCTAAAGCCTAGCGGCATACATACTAGCGCACACTAGCGATTTTTGTCGCCAGCGACGGCGATTTTTGTCGCTGGCGACTAAATGTTTTCCCCGCACACTTGCGATCTTACTGCCTTGGCCAATGAATTTTTGGTCTCCACCTCATAATGAACCTCGAAAAAAATGACCAGAAACTAACAATCAAATTTTTTTATAACCCATGCATGTGCCTGGACATCCTCAAAAATGACGGGATGGGAAAATTTGTAGTTTTAGCTTGGCCTAAATTAAGCTACTTATTTTATTTTCTTCTCTTTTGTACCGTAGAGAACCCAACACATGGGTTTTATGCACAATTTGTTTGTTATCTGTTTTACTGTTAGTTGCTAGTAGATAGTAAAACCTACATCGTACGAGATTTTTTCACTTTATAGGCAACCATTACGGCTAAAAGGATATATTAATAGAAATGCAGTTGTTAGTGCAATGAGAGAGAAGTCTTGTTCGTGTTTATCCAAATACGTTTACAAATAATTGAGAGCAGTAGTACCCGCTCGTGGCACTAAGAGCATCAGCAAGCTCAGCCACGGCTGCAGCTTTTGCCGTCCTATCGTCGTATTGTCGAAAGGATATGACGTACAAGCAGGGTTTCCCGCGCCACAAATTGACTAACCAATCCTCTTAATACGTTGTCCAAGAGAACGAGCATGTTCCTGTGACCTCCATCTTGTCAATATTCTTAAAAATCAACACACTTTCCACGTGCCTTGAAAACACTTTATGATTGGCTGATCAACAAAAATTTGTTTTTGCGCCCTGCACACTTGCGATTTTCAGTTTTTAGTCGCTAGCGACAAAAATCCTGTGATGTTTCTCCCCGCAGACTAGCGATTTTAGTCGCCAGCGACAAAAATCGCTAGTGTGCGCTAGGCTTAACTGGGCATAATTGCCCATTGAGCTGGTGAGGCAAAATCACTCAAGCGGAAATACTGGCAAAAAGACGATAATGCAAAAGGGCTCAGTGCGGGAAATTGTAAGGCGGACGAAGGAAAACCAATATTTTCGAAAATCGGCATAAATTTGATAGTTCAGCTATTCTGTGTCAGCTTGCCATATTCATTTCGAAGGTTTTAAGCTATAAATTGTTTTAGTAAATAGTGTTTTAATATTTTTTAAAAATTTTCTTGCTGCGGGTGTTCGTAAAGGCACAGGCCCAGGTTTTCGGGCTTATATATATAGCCGCCAGGTTAGACTCTTCTCTCCTTTAGAAACTTTCTGTTCTTGATCTTCAGGTTTCACAAAATCGGATACCTTAAGATGGATGTAACAGTGAGCATTACTTGAATAGGATAAAAAATTGACTAGAACAAGCAATTATAGTGCATTCAGTTGGACAGATCTTACAATAACCTAAAAATGCTTTTTTGAACGTTTAATATAATGATAAAAAACAGTTTACCCAAAGTAATGCCCGTATTTACATTAACACATTCAGGTTCTTTTTACATTCAAGTTCTTCCATACTACATAATTCAAATAAGTTTCACCACACGTCTAGAAAACAGTCAAAATCTCCTAGCCTGCGTGCAGACTGTTGGCAACATTGAAAATAAGAGAAAAAGTGAAGTCTGCGAAGCTGAGCCGATTTTCTTGCTCAAAGGTTCCTCAAAATCAAGGAACCGAATTTGATTTGTTGGGGGAATTTCAATTGTTTTTTTTCAGTTTTCAATTTGGCGTCTACGGGCAGAGGTATAAATGAATGGTATCAGGATAATAGAGTAGGCCTGTTTGTTCTTTTAAACAACTAAAATTACAGAAAAACATTGCACGCTATTGGAGTCGTTGTTCTAGTGCTTAGAATAAAATGCTGATGTCAGCGAACAAGAAAAGCGGCTCTGTTGCACAGACTCTACTCTCGTTCCTCTTTTAAATTTCCGAGTCTGCACGCAAGCTAAAATTCCCAAGTTCTTTGAGTTCATATTCTTTTAATGAATTAGTCGCTGTGACAAATGTTCGACATCGCAGTATTTTGAGGGTAGGTTTGGCGATGTTCTGCTCGGCGTAGGGCAAGCACAGTTTTACAATTAACTAGAGACAAGTCACATCAACGTATACTGTTGAACCTAATTTCATCACTTTTTGCTTTGGCCTTCGTCTTCCTCTTCTTCTCAGCAGCAAAGCAATTCCATATCCTGATAGTCTGGTCCGCGCTTGCAGATGCAACAAGCGCATTGTCAGGGGACTGGGCTAAATTCAAAACACGTGACGTATGGCCTAAAAAGAACAAAACCATTTATGTACAATTTCCAAGGCAGATAGCATTTTTATATAAAGATCTCTCTACACGATAAAACAATGTAATACAAAACTTTATCAAACAAGAAACATGTGTGGAATGATGTTAAAAAACAAATGCTTGATCGTGTGGATTGTTCCGTCATATAACCTTGAACACCGTAAAACATGTTTGATATTGTTCGAGATTTTAGCTGCAAAATTTTGAACATGTTTGACGATATTGCCCAATCAAATTTGTCCATAACGCATGCTGCAAAATGGCGGGAAATGATGACTTATGATTATGTTTGATGACTTATGATTATGTTTGATGATCTATTATTATGTTTGATGATGTGTGATTATGTTTGATGATGTATGATTATGTTTGATGATTTATGATGACTTATGATTATGTCTGATGATTTATGATTATGTATGATGTACGATGATGTTTTGCATTACGATGTTTCATCGTGTAGATGGGCCTTGAAACACTATTTGACCGATAAACATCATGTTCATTTCATTTTCAATAGGCAACATCATATCTATAAATAGGCAACCAATCATAACTTCTCTTGTTACCAGACAATACAAATGTAACCATATATTTGATTGATAATGATTGGTAATTATATAAAATTATTTCTTAAGTTTTAGCATAAAAATTAAAACCAGAGTTCATACCCATTTATTATCTTTAAGACGTTTGAATTCAAATACGTTTCCTTTGATGATGCCAATCTGCAGGGCTTCTGCCCTCTTATATTCTCTCACTAGACCTGACGTCATATAATCATTTTAAAACACTGCAAAATTCCTCCTAACGAGAATTCGTACCTGTTAATTGTGTGACTTTATTCATACTCGGGTACTTCCATATAGTGAGCTGGTTTTCAGAAAAACCATGTCCGGAAATAAACTCCTTATGTTCATCTGACCAAACGATGCCACTGATCTAAAGATTAGGCAGTTAAATTAATAAGACAAACGATCAATACATGCAAAATTGTCACCATCTCGCAGAAGGACTGGCATTCTTGTTACGTCAGTCCTAGGCGGAAGAGCCACGAAGTACATTAAGTCTTTGAATCTACGGATACCTGTGAATCCAAGTCTTAGTATTATGATATATAATTGTATTATCATAGATCTAAATAGGATGTTGATCATCATACTGCAGTCAAAATGAAACATAACTGCCTCTTAAAACGGTTAAAGGTTGGAGTTTTTGAATAAAAGATTATAAAATATACGCCATGTTGAAAAAATCAATAGATCAATTGATCGTAAAACTTATCACTAAAAACCAGCGCAAAACTCCACGTGCTTTGTTCAAAGCCATAACTAACAATATCAGATCGGGGTTATGAATCTGTAAACTTCATAAATATGTACACAACTATGGTTCGTTAATTTGCAGCCCTTTCTTTTCCCCAAAACATTTCCTGAAATATTCACATTATATATATATTTATATATATCAGCTATTTACGTTTGTGACTTAGGGAAGGATAACACCGCTCCAGCGCCAGTTGCTGGGTTCAACTTCTGCGAGCTTAACCTGGCCCAGAAATGTACGTCTTACCTGAGAATTTGTGTCAACAGTATGCAAGCATACGCCAGTATTGGCGTTCCACAATCGAATATGCTTGTCCGCTGTTCCTCCACCACTTGCTAAGACATTCGGTTGCCAAGGACACCACGAAACAGCCTAAATACGAAAATCGTCTACCATTTAATTCTGTACAGAACGAAGCAGAATTGAATCGATAGGTTAAAAAAAGACTTGAAAATAATGTTTGTTAGCTTGGATTCGAAAATTTACAAAAAATTATACATGCATAGAATTAATGGTTCCCTTGCAGGTTGAAACCAATTAAATAAGGCCTCTCCTATTTCGTTCAGTAGCCAGAAAAGGGGATTTAGATAAGAGCTATCTATATTATAAAACCAAAAAGTCAAAATTAATCACAAATAATAAACAAATGAGTTGAGAAAAGATATTGTGAAGAGAAGCATTATGACAGAAATGAACTGATACCAGCATCTACATACTTTGACGGCGGCACAGTGATCTGCCAGTGAAAAAAGAGGAGTTGTTATTTCCCCGCTTGATTGTACACCAACATCCCATATGTTCAGAACGTTGTCGTTTCCACCACTGGCAAGCTTGGTGCCACCAGGTGCCCAAGCCAGGCCGCAGATCTCTTGAGAGTGCGCCAGCAAACAGGCAACATTGTGGCGAGCCACACGGACATCATGCTGGTGGATTGCTCCACTCCTAGAACCACTGCGACAGAAAACATACAGCATGCAACGGTTAGCGCGGAGGCAATGCGCTGGTATATCTTAATCAAAAACAAATGTAAATACACCCACTGAAAATAAGGTGCTAAACCATCTTAATTCTGCAAGACGGTTGAAAGACAGGTAACTCAGGCAGATGGCTGACAATGGAAAATCAAGGCAATAGGCAACTTGGGTGATTCTTTTGCAAAATTATGAAACGTCAATGCTGGGACCGTTTTCCAAAAACATAGTAAATGTTGGAGGTCTTAAAATGTCTCTTATTTAAGCGCGACCTTTAAACATTAACGAGATTATTGACATTCTTAAAGTATATCAAAATTCTTGTTTGTGAAAAAAAGAAAATGTTACCTGCTCAGTATGTACTCATTCCAACTAAGAGAGCCAACACGTGAGGCATGACCGGTCATTGATCTTTTCCTCTGACAAGTCTCCGCATCCCAAATCTAGAAATAATGAGAAACTCCACTTGTTTAGAGCTAGCCATTTCAGGATAATCACAATTATAAAGTTTATTTCAAGCTTACTTAAATATGTACACAACTAAGCATATGGAAAATTTATGCAAGTCCAGGAAAAGAAATTGAGAAGCAATCGCCCTTTTTTTGTTTGCAAAATACAAAGATGCCTAGAAGATTTTGCTAAAACTTGACAATTTTTCGTACCATTCACTGCAGACACTTGAAACAGAAGATCAGTCATTTTAAATAGAAGCTTTGCAGCGCCACACGAATATATTGCATGGAATACTGGCTTCTTAACACGCCTGTCTGCTTTTGTGAAATTGTACCAAATTGTTGCATTTAGGAATAATAATTCGATTAAAATTTTCAAATGGGAAAATTTCTTAGCCACAGTTAAAAGGATTTATAGAAAGGTACTGCAAACGCGACAAATGCAGGTTCATAACTACACTTCTATGAGATTAAACTACAAAGCTGCCGAAGCGCAGCGAAAATTCTAAGAAAAATATTTTTTGATCGTGTATGTGTGTTTTTAATTATGGCTGATAAATGTACCGAGTTACCTAAGTATAATTTGTCATACAACACACGGGATCACTGAAAATCCTTGGCCCAGAAAGCAAGTGACCGAAAACAAACTATAAAGCGCCGAATGATTAGTTGCATATGCTTTCGAACACTTTCCTGTGTTCTCAAAGGGTTTAGATATGCTGTTTTGATAATATTGTGACGTGGGGTGCACACACATTGTTAATTCTCTTACCCCTGGCAAAATTTCTAACAGTGTCTATTCCTTCGAGGGTATATTGCTTATGGTAAATTGGGTTTTGCAGTCTCCCCTAATGCTGCATTGCCTTGATTCCGAAACGGAACAGTCGTGAGAAGTATTGGCTTCCTGAAGCATCGATTATTATATTTTTATCTTTGAAAAGATGGGCGCGGTCATACTAAACCACATCCTCTCTCATGAAAATGCCCCTGGAGCCGCCTTGTTAAATCGCTTAGAAGTCACCCCTGCTTCTTATCTCAAGTGGTGTTAAAAATTATGTCTGTCTTGCCATTATTTGTACTTTACGAAGACAAATCAGAACACCTAAGCAGTGATAGGCATGGCAGTGATAGATCCTGCACTTGAATCAAAGTTTTCCTGAAATCTTCGATTGTGGGAAATAAACCATAGGTTTGTTGGTCCTAAAATTTTGGATCTTTTCCCGAGCAACTGTCGTTCTTCTTGCCTAGAGAAACACCTACTCCATCATAGATGGTTTTAGCTCCCCGCCAATGAATTCAATCCAGACCGTGTCTCGAAAAAAATATTAATAATGGTTTTGTACTTGAGCCACGACAAGTAAAAATAAATTCTGTGTGCCATTTGTGTCTTTCTTTTCACCAATATTGAATTTTCTTGCAGCTTCCCTTTTCAAACTCCTTACCACATTTTCAACCAATTGCTTCTTTAACATCAAGCTCAAATAACGACCCTATTTTTTCTTCTTTATGACAACATGCAGCTTACGAAGACATTTTCTACTACAACTGAACCTTTTTGCAATGCTTAAAAACACTAAAGTTTTCAATAAAGTCTAAAGCTTGGGGATTTTTATCTTGATAGGGCTATTGATATCCTGTCTTGATTGCAATGAAAAGAGCAGCACTTTTGTCCTATGGCCTTTTCCTCGAATAGAGTTTGAAACAAACATTTGAAGCTATCTTGTTTACAAAAGTGAGTGGATACCAATCCTTTGAAAAATTGTTGAAATTCGGGAAAAAGGAGCGCCAAAAAAGAAAAAGAACACGATGAAAATGCGGTAGGCGTCTACAGAGCAAATGCAGAGGACTTGGATTTTCTTGTAAGTCACGGCCTAATTGAATCATCAAGTGCAAATTAAACTGACGAATTCGATTGTGAGCTACAGTTACTGAGTTACGAAAGAGAAGTTGGGGTGGTTAGCGAAATTCCAATTTATGTCAAGAAATGAAGTCTGCGAACCACAAACTTGTGAAGAAAAATACAGTACAACTATTTTGAACAGAATGCTCCAAATTTTTGTTTAGCTTAATGGCTATCTTACAGGAAATAGCAATAATGGACATATCCAATAGTAGTCTGAAAACAGAGGGGGGTTCGAAATGCTAAGGGACTAGTGATCAATGGACCATTCACAAAACTAAGACATTATACGAAAACTGTCCTGGAATTCAGCAATATCATGATCAGATGTAGAAGAAGCCAGTTCCTTAATGACCATAGTAGCCTTAATGACCTTAATGACAATGACAATCAAGCCACGTCATAAGAAATTTTAAAGTATGGTTAATGAAGATGATTACCTCAACATTGCCATTGTCTAGGCCAACAGCAAGAATATTTCCTTCACCAATCCACTTAACACTGGTGACAAGTTCTTCATCCTGGGTTTGCATCAGTCTGTCAACTTTGCCAGTTTGTGCATGCCATAAGAATACCTCACTGCTCAAAGCCACAGCAAGACAGTTGTTACTTCCCCAGTCAAGGATGTTAAGATCTAAACATGGCAAACAAAAATTGTTGGCATCTTACAGCATTGTGAGTAAATGTGAACTTTCTCCAAAACCAAGTACTCAATGGATACTAATGAACATAAATGCCTAAATTTTTGAATCTGTAAAATGACATTGTGTTTTTGCTATGCAACCTTTTGATAGACATATTATGTGCTGTTATATTTCATGAAAAACAGCTTTCAGATCCCAAACAACTAGAAATTCTGTCAAAAAGGCTAAAAACTATCAATTTTGTAAAAAAAACTATTAAAACTTGTAGCAAGCAAGAAATATCTTCTCCACATCATAATACGTGCTTCCAGCAGCACCCATGTTATATTTTTTCTTTTCAGCCCTCCTTTCTTTTCAAGTCAGTTTCTCTCTTGACCTGGGCCTCAAACATGAAAGAATTTTCTGTATAATGGGACCTCCCCATGCTGAAATCAGGAACATAAATGGGATTGCACTATCAACAGGTTCATACTACTATTTGTTTACCCCTAGTTGTGTCTGAGCTTAAATTTATTAGAACAAATTAGCAAAAAGTGTTATGACATACAGTAATCATTGGTGATATCTGGAGCGTCTAGAACCCTTTCTGGAGTGTCAGGAATATGTCTGCTTGACTTCCATTTTGCCTTTGGCTGTTTGCTTTGACTGTGCAGAACTTTGTTCATATAGCCTGTTTTTAAAAAGAAAATATCACATGTTGATTTTTGGTAGACACTTCTAAAACTGCATAAACTTGTATATGCATTAAGTATATTGAAGAAGGTGGTTTGTAGTTGATACTCCAAGTTTCATGATTAATAGAATTATCAGGCAACTGTAGAAACAGGAATGATGGCATTAATTAGGAAACTCAGAGTAGAAATTTAGAATCATTGCGTTTTATGAGGCCTGGCCGTTTGTATTTTTGTAGGTGAGCTGTTGAACTCTCCCCTCATTTGCTGAGGCGAGTTACATCAGTAACACGTAGAATGTACTTTAAAGGCAATCAGAAGGTGGCTTAAGCCCCTTTAGTATTAGCCTGCGCGCAGACCCAGTATTCTGAAGAAGAAAGACTGGGTCTGCGCACAGGCTACTTTAGTATATGTTGATTGCCTAATATATCGCCCAGGCAACCCCTTTTGCTTAAATGATTTAAATAAAGGGACACATTCAGTTTCGTGTAAAGCTTGCACAGCACAAAAATAACAATTCCTTTAGCAAATAATCTTTTTTGTTGAATAGAATTTGAAAAAGGCTTTGAAAGACAAATTTTGAAACAAACTTCAATCAGCTTTTTATCTGACACTCTTCAGAGTATAAAATGTCAGAACATAGATGGAAAACTCTATGCTATGAAATAAATATACCCAGTTATGGATCAAAATAGGCCAATCAGAAACCAAGCACATGACTGTTAAGGTTGCCAAATCAGTCCAGCTTGCCTATGAAAAATGTTATCAAAGAATCCTAAGATCAAAATGAACTCTTTCTGTCTAGACAATATCGGCTTTATTGTTTTTATGTAGATAGATTCCAAAACTGCTAGACAGAATGAAAATCTGGCTCTACCAATAATCTGAGACATGTCACCATGTTATAGTTTTTCACACAGTCTGGGTTTTCCAGCAAATACTGTTTGTTGATAATTGAATTGCATGTTTTAGTTGTCGTGTTTGATCTGCAAGACCAAGTAGGCTGTTCTCCTTAAGGGAGATTCTGTTTCTAATGCTGGGAGGGACCTGTTGTTTTATTCTATCCTCCAGTCGACAATTCACACCAATTCCTTCGACTTTCCTACCAAGAATAATCCTGTTCTCATAAGATTGAAAAGTTCTATACTCTGCAAACATACCTTTTGCGTCTTGAAGTTCATGAGTATGAACAAAAACCGCCCTACAGGCAAAAAATGCAATGATGGGAGAAGTCTATGTTACAAAAATTAACCAATTAACCATTGTAAGATTTTGAGGGCTCTGTGAAAACAGAAAGGGCAAATGAATGGAAATTTTAGTGGAGCAATTTTCCTTCATGTTCTGTCTTGGAGAGCAATTTGCAGCTCACATCAGGTTGCAAGGGGAGCGTGGGGGTGAGCATAAGCTATTGCTCACCTCAAAGGACCAGGCCTGTTCTATACATTGAAAGCTACATAAAATTTGAAGTTTCTTCCAGCATGAAAAAGTATAACTGTTAACTGTTTGATTAAACTAATGGAAAAAACTACCATCTGATGCAGCAGGTGCCTTGCATCTCATTGCTAAGATCCTTGCATTTGCTTCAGCAGAGCTTCCAGCCCATTCTTTAGATGAACCATCATTATCATTCATGTCAACATTTTCATCTTCCTCTTCATCTTTCATCAGCATATGGTGACTCTTGTCATTGTCCATTAATGCCCTGTTTGGTATGAATCTATCATACGTAGAGCAGGATGTATTAGCACTTTTGTTCAATGAGGTATTTTTACCTGCAAGATAAAGCATTTTATGATTTTTATGTCGAATGTAAAGCTTTTAGCATGAAACAATGGATTCACTGCCAACTGAATGCTCCCCTAGCAGGCAATGCAGTACAAAAGATAAAAAAGGAATCCAGTACATACAAAGAGATATAGATAGATAAATAGAAAACAACTTGTATCTAAACAAGCAAGTCAAGTGTTGAGATGTGCAGAAATGTTTTAAATATGGAAATGAAAACATATTTCAATCTGTACCAAAGGGTGTGTAATATGAGACGGGGATAATATATAGCCTATTATTATTGATAAATACTGGTCAGCTTTTAACTTCTTTTGAAAACCATAGCAACTAACTTCAATTTTATACTTTGTATGGAAATGTTAACAGGCCTTGCAAGGAGAGGAGCTCAAGCTTGATCAAGTGCCTCCACACGTGACTAGAAAGTTCTAGGAACTTGATTGATTGAGCACCTAGTATGTTTATGCTGTTGAAAAACTAAATGCAAAACAGATTTTGTTATTGATAATATTTAATGGTGCTAAATTGAGTGCCTAGAAAGTTGAAGGTGCTCAGTTTGTCAAGCACCTCCTTTTTGCTCCTTATAAGGCGTGAGTTAACACCTAAAACTTTTATATATTGGCACAAGTAGTTAATAGCCCATGAAGCTGGAAATCTGCTTTATTATTGTTTCATTTTTTCATTTTCAAATTGGACTTTTTACAATACAAACACTTTTCAAATACAATTAACATATTTATGTTGTTTGCGAAAAAGCTCAGATACCTAACCTACCATAGTGCATTCCAAGGTCCTCATTCCCAATTAATATGGTAGCAGGGACAGAGAGAGTAAGGGACCATTGGTCCCAGAAAATATATTGGGCCTCAGAATGCCCAATAAGTATAATTTATATATGGCAGTTGTCCATATTGCTAGTTTTTGGCACAGAAAATATTTATTAAGCCGTGGTTGCAGCAAGAAAGGTTTTCCACACCTTTCTGGAAGATAGAGATCTTTCAACATATAAAACAACTTAAAATAATATTAAGGCTCAGAATTGGTGAATTTTGAGAACTGATTAAGAATAACTACCAGGGTTGGAACTCATTGACAGTTTGACTTTTTATTTTACTTATCATTTTTAGCAAACTAAACAATTTATCTGATGCTCATGCAAAAAAGTTAAGGTACAGTCATCTAGCAATTATTATGCTACTACATTTCTTTGCTTAAAATGTTTTCATGCTAAAGAAGCACAGTAGCAAAGATTTGAAACTTCTTTGTCAATTCTTAACCAATTATATGTTGTATTACTTAAGAATGATTTAAGAGTTTATTAAAGGTCAGAATCACAAATTTTTAAGAATCTACTCATATAGTTCCACTTCCCTGTCTCTGGACTGATGTCAAAGACTAATACAAAATTTTCTGTAGCAATGAGATGGTAGCAATGTTTACAACAGTACAGTTGTCTGCCACGTTCTTTATTAAGTTGTAATCATTAAGCAGTTTATCCAGTTTGGTTTCATTTCAACAAATACAGTGTAAGATCTTACCAAAACCATATCCTTAAAAAATACACCCTAAAGTTTGCTCTCAAGATGCTCATTTTAAACAAACAACTATATGAATTAGACAACTTCAAACAACAGCCACACCTTTTTCAACTTTATACCCCTTATAGCCAATACATACTTACAATATTTATTTTAATTCTGTATTGTATGGAGTTGATTAACTGAAATTTAATTACTGTAGTCTGTCAGTAAACAAAGATTACTGTATATAATGAATGTGTCCAAACACAAGGTTTATGAACTGCTTACTAAAAAAATGTCAAAGAATTTCAGAAAACAATCAAATTGGGAAACTTCGTAGAAGATCCTTTAGGATTAATTGGTTTTTCTCAAATTATAGATTAGCTAGGTGGTGTAAAATCCTCCTGAGGTGCTCAGCCCAAACTTCATTGACGTAGAATACTACTTTGCCCGTATGGCTTAGTTGGTGGGAATATCCAGCAGAGGGAAAATTGGAATGTACCATGGCTAGTCGTCTCGAGCCATCCTATCCAAGTAAGTTAATTTTTGTTAAAAATGCTACCACATACCAGGTGTCTTCTTCTTGGACGACATATTTCCAAGCGCTACTTTTCCAGGAGTTGTGGTACAAATACTCTTATTTCTTGAAATATTCAAAGGAGATAACGGGGCTCCCCTTGATTGCCCTACAAGTTTCCTCTGCCATCTTGGAACTGGCCCGGAAGACATCGCGGAGCTAGTGCAGGATTTGAGGCAGTCATTTATATCTGCTTCAAAAGCTGAACAGCGGTCCATCTAGGTAGCTGAAATGCAAATAAAACATTTTAAAAATGAAACTTTTATTTCCGAAACCGTAATAAAACAGAAGTGGCACGATTGTAACGGTCCAACTTGGGTCCTACCCTTTAAATTGAATAAAGGTGCGGGAATAGGCATGGTTGTTATACATTAATAAAAAAAGTAAAATATAAACAAGAAATTATTTTACACTATTTACCTTTTATGATACCAACAATTGGTTCTTCTGATTTGGGTTTATTCGAATGTTTCCAGAACGTGTTCTCTTGATTGAATGAAATTGTCAATCGATATCGATGGCCAAATCAAATTGAATCTCTGAACACATTTGAATTCGTTGCGCTGATTGGTCAGATCACGAGAAACAGGGAACCCAAGCAAACAGTTTTTCCGCACCAGACTGCTATCCGCTGTGGGTCTTCATTTGCCCAATCCCAGCCAATTTGCAACGCAAGTGACCGATTTTGGTGTTGTTTGGACTTATTTTTCGAAAATTTGAAAATTCTAAAATAAGATACTGTGACGTCATCACGCAGCCAATCTATTATCAAGAAAAGGAAATTTAATTGACTTTCTAATTGCAGCGCCTATTTCAATCTGTTCTTCTGTTCTGTTGCTTTGATGAAGCATAATTTTCAACCATAGTTCCCTTTACTCGCCTTTACTCATGGATTAAAAATTGACAAGATTCTGAGTTGACTACCACATTAAGTAAATGCAGTTTACAGTGTCTTCAGTCTAGAACATGAACTACTTTTCTGTTTTTCTATGGTGTTTTTTACCTGATTCTTGGATTTTGACGTTTTCCGTCAAGTTTTAGACAGTTTTAAAATGTTGGCTTTTTTCAAAGCCATTTTGTATATTAAGTTTTGTAACACCAAATTGTCATTTTTGGCATTGGCATTAGGCTCCTTATTTTAAATATGTAACATATGGTATTAATACAATTGCTGTAAATTTTTCATTTTTTTTCATATAATATATTTTTACGTTAATCAGGACACACATTGATAACAGCAGTAACGTTGAAGTGTTAATCCTGTATAAAGATTCGTGTTATTATTATTATTATTATGTTATTCGGAGCCTTCGTTATCATATTCAAAACTCAGGGACTCTAGTTTGATGATATAAACATAACAAGAAAAAGAATCAATTCAATGAACAAACACAGAGTAGAGAAACGAGTTCCTATAGTGCACAGAAAATTATTCAAAGAAGGAAACTCTCTCATTAGTGACAAACCAACCGAGGAGAGAACACCCCCCCCCCCACCCCTCCAAATAAATTCGACGCATTTTTGCTTAATTTGTTGTGCCAGAAGTATGAAATTGCCTGTGAGTTGTTTTGAGTCAACAACAGATAAAAGCAAAATGTAGACTAATTTGAAGAAATCATCATTAGTTGGTAAAACAATTACAAGATTTTTTAAAAATGAATATTTTGAAGGCGAATTTCTGATTTCTAATGGTAGTACATCTCACAATTTTGCCCCCATGTATCGAATAGACTTCAGGCCTTATTGAAAGCTATTTTTATTAGTAAAAAACTACCGCGACTAAATTGCTGAGTAGAGTGTTGTTGAATATTTGTATTGAAAGAAGGAATCATGAAGGCAGGAGGGAGTTATTTTTAAATAATTTATAAACAAATGTTTATAGTCTCAGCTGTAAAATATGTGGAAGTCTCAAAGGTAAGACCTTCTTCAAAATGGGAAGAGAAGGAGAAAGAAAAGTTTAATGCGAAATAGCTCTGACAGCTTTATTTGCAGTTTGAATATTGGCTAGAGGTTCAGGTATGAGGATAATGTTTGTTCCTAGACAGTGATACAATATTTCAAGTTCTAAAAAGAATGCCATTTTTTTAAAGTTCGCTGTCATGATTCTTCCAGTCTAGATTTTTGGCAAGCAGAAAACCTAGAAACATAACATTTTGACTCTGCTGATGAGTTTTCCCCTGTTTCAGTTGTAGTGTCTGGCCGTATCAATTAGTTGGTAGAATGGAAGAATAAATATTTATTTTTGTCTAAATTGAATTTCTACTTTTTTAACAAATTCATCGAGAGTTCAAGTATCATAGTAAATATTACTATCATCAGCAAAGAGATAAAACTTCAATTTTCTTGAGGCGTTTGGAAAGTCGTTCATAAAAATTAGGAAAAGAAGAGGTCCGAGTTCTGATCCCTGAAGTACACCACAAGTAACATTCATACAATCAGAGTTAGTACCATTAATTTGATCCTATCTAATAGACAGGAATCAAACTATCTGAGAACATTTTCTCTGATACCATAGTGTTCTAGTTTCGATAGCAAAATATTGCAATTGACAGTATAAAATGCCTTTTTCAAATCAAGAAATATACCACAGTCATATATTATATTGTCAAGAGCTTGTAGTGACCATTGTTAAACGTATTCATGTTTCCCATTGTAATCATGTCATTAACACTTTCCATTGTCTTCGTAACCACAGTAACGTAAGCAAGCAACACACTGTCTCTCTCTCTGGCTCCGTGTTCTCTGCACGTAAAATAAGACTCGCTGGGTTTGGAAATGACACGATAGTCAAGGATGGATTTATTTAGTGACTGCATTGATCGCCGTTCCGATGTACACTAAAAGCTGACCACACCACTTCATCATCGCTTCAAGAATCCTATTTTCTTAGCAATAATCAAATATTCTGAAGATGTTTTCAATCCTTCTCTTTCAATAAGTCCAGAGTCAAGAGGTTTTAGAGGTACTGAAAACTCTTAATGTTAGGAAGTAAAAGAGTGTATATGTTGTACCACCATAACTTGTGTCCTTGACAGAAAATTAGGTTACTGCGCCTTTACTACATTCTATCAACCGAATAACTTGCAACCATAGATTTCAAGACAATGAAGAACATACGGTTGTATACCCATTGTACAAAGGAGAATGCGACCTTCCTGCTGAAAAGAAGTTTTGATCAGCTATTTAGCGTTCTCAATACCTTCTCTAAAGCATATGAAAAATTACAGCAAAATCAGCAGCTCATCTCCAATAATGATGGAGTCTCCTAAATCTTCATAGCAGCATATAGGAAGGTATATGGAACATAGTATTAATCATTAACAATTATATGTTTGACTGAGAATCGCAGATTGAAACTTGACAATGACTGCATTATATGCGCTATTCTAATGGACTCTTTTCACATGATTTGCTCGTCTCTAAACTCTGTCCTTATAGGTTCAATGAAGATGCGTTCGTCTACATTGGTTCTTACATAAAATTACGTAAAGAATTAGTTCGTATAAATAACACTTGCAGCTCTTACCAGACAATGCTTTCAGGGTGCAGTGAGGCTCTTTCCTTGATCCTATTCTTTTTAAAGTGTACATAAATGATGTATTGTGCAGTCTGTGCTCCAGGCTACTTTCAACTTATGGGTCTTTTATTATAAAGTAAAATAGAAACATACCAGTGGACCTAAATATTTCTATAACATAAATATTTAGGAACAAACCTGAACATTCAGGATGCCAAAGTCAAGTCCGTAAAAAATGTGACATTACTACACTCGACTGTATGCTCGATATTGAAGAACCATTTCTTTTTGCACAAAAGCTGCAATTCAGCTAGTTTTAAAACAGCTAAAATCTTTTGTCCTTTTAAAAGAAAAATAATTTATCGTACACTCAAACTTTAACTATTTTTTCTTGATTTGAGGTTTTCCCGCGTGTGAGCCTTCGCAAAATATTGAAAAAGCACAAGAACCTGTCTTGAAACTCTTCATATACAACAGGATCGCACACATATAGTGAGTTACCTCCTAAGCCAAATAGGAATTTAAATGCAACAATGAAATTATTCTTGTATGAAGATCCATTGAATGGAGATCTTTAAAACGCTTAAAAGTCTAAATCCCTCGTTTATGCAGGGTACCGTAAAATTTAATACATCAAGCTACCGCTTTTCCACTCCTATCTTCTGTTTCCACTCTCGGATGTATGCGGCTTTGGTACCCAGGGTACAAACGACTGGTCACCAGAATCTTTTGCTTTGCAGCATTGCAGATCCAACATTTAACAGCATTGGACTCAAATAGTCTAAGGGCAGCAGGGCTGAAAAGTGACAAGATATATAGACAGAAAAAGACAATTGTGCCTCTTGCAAAATGAATTCTGCTGGTTTCAATTCCTAATTCTAGTGAGAAGGGCCTAGCATGCATAATACTTCTAAAAAGTTGAAGAAATATAATTATCTTTGAGGTAGGAAAAAATTAATAACGAGTGAAAGAAAATTCTTGTAGTATCAGTTAGCTCATAGAATGTAATAGCAACCTTAGATTCCCCCTACGCTTGGTATCCCTGCCAGCATGCTAATCTCGTGATTTTCCTGTAAATTAGCCTCTTGGCACAATAAGCAACATAATTTCTCATTTACATTGGTAATGAATATTACTTTTTACTGGTCTGCCATAAAGTGCTTGATGCATCAGAGGCAGAGATGTACACGCCTTTGATGTACACGCAAACAAACATACTATATAAAAATACCACAATACCCTAATGCAAATTTATACATTAAAATATACAGATGATACCATTAAGTGGAATAAATTAGCTTGAATCACCGTTTTTGATTAGATATATCTGCTAAGACATTTAAATTACAGCTGAAATGATACCTTTGATTTTGGTTAAAGGTTAAAAAAATTACTTGAAAAGTTTGTGATTCAATCACCGGCCAAAAAGTTTGTTATTCAATCTTGCTAGGGTCAGTTCCCTCCGTTTGCTTTCTTTTTTATCACCAGAAAACGGTCCCCTCAAGATGCACCAAAAGTCGTGCTTAAACTCCAAAATGCGCTCGTAAGTTGCTGAAAAGAGTAAGTATATTCATTTTTTAAAAAACTAAACAAAACATTAAACAATCTTGAGAGCTGGCCTAAACAGAGATGGTCTTGAAGAGCAAAAAATATTTTTGTACAGATCAGAAATTCAAGATAGCCAGCAGCCTTAATGTAGAGCTTTGACAGTGTACCTAGGCGATCAAATGGCATAATCGTTAAAAGTGGGCAATCGCATGTACTATGTTTCTCGTACCATGTACAATATGCTATGAACCTTGTACCAAGTATTATGAAGCAAGTCTCATGTACCATGGACCATAAACTATGTGTCGTGTGCTTTGTGCCAGGTTACCACGTTTCAACTGCTATGTACACATGCTTTTTTTGCTAAACACTTTTCTAGCTTCAAAGAAAACATCAGGAGGATTTTTGGTCCATCAGCGATTTGAAAATGAATCAAATTTCATAACCTAAAATGTGAAGAAGGATACATTTGGACTTGTCTGCACCTGCTCCTACTAGAAACGCGCAATAAGTTCATTATTTTTAAAAAGGTGTTTTCACTGTTCTTGAAAAGTCCATTTTAACGTAAAAAAATATTGCTTTTGATCAGCCAGGCTGACATGATACTCAAAATGGGCGTGAGCAAGGTGTATAAAATTGCTGTGCTTCTATAAAATTGCTGTGCTTCTTTAAGATTGCTTTGTATTGTTTGAAGTTAATTACTGCTAAAGTGGTTGCTAAATATATGGTGGGCATTAACGGTTAAAGAAAAAGTTAAAATCTGTCATCAAACCTCTCAGTTATGTTTAAAATATTGATGCAGAGCGCTCCGGGTTCCGGTTGGATCAGGTTGAACAGGTGGATTATATGGGACATATTCCATCCAGGGGGTTTACACATAATATTTGCAAGGAACATGAATTATGACTGTATAATTTCTAAATGTTTTAAAAGTGGCGTGGGCATTATATTGTAACATTTCACAGAAAGTTTCGTATAGCCATAATATGACTAAAATGATGTAAGAATGAAACATTAAACAAGATAAACAAACCTAAACATAATCCTCTTTGATGATTCTTGTTTCAACTGTAGTCTCACCAATCGGAAAATACTTTTCCCAGCAATACTTTTCTTGAGAGCTCTTCTTTCTGCTCATCTCTCTGCACATTTCGCATGAAAATCCGCCTGGAGATTTAGATCTTCTTCCAGATGATCTTGTAGTCGAGGTTCCAGTCTCACTTTGAAAACGTGCCCTTGTAAACCCGTCTGCTTGGCTACGCTGCGGTTGATGGTGCTGACATTTCTGCTCCTCACTACCAGAGTAAGAGTAGTTGCAATAAGCAGCATCTGACTGCACGAAAGCCGATTGAAAAGAGCTCTGATGTTTTGGAGTTGAATGTGAATATTCTGAATGCAATACTATCGCAGAATCATCTTGGGATTCGTTTTCAAAGGAGATATCAACAGAGAACATATCATCCTTTGTTTTTCTTGGTAACCTCAGAGAGCGATTTCGTCGAAAAGCACTGTCATTTACGGCTCTACTTCCTTCAAAGATATCCACATCCGTGTGTTTGTTAGGAAAAACGTCCGACTTTGGCCTTGGCTTCCTAAGCGATTTGGTTCGTCTTGGCACAGGCACGTCATATGAGCTATCTGAATCATACTCAGCAAGTTCATCAAGATACATAACTGTTCCGGGTGACCTTCTTACAAATTCTTTACTAATTTTGCTCGATTTTGACTTCTCATTACTTCGTTTGCTCACAACCCGTTTCGGTGCTGGTTTGGTGGTCGCAAAAGCGGACTCAACCTTAGTGATTGTTTCCTCGATTAGCTTCGACCCTTCATGCATCATAGATCCCCCTTGAGTTTCGAGGTGTTTGAAACTGCCTTCTGGAGTGATGCTTCTTCCAGCAGATTCTTCCCTTTTCGGTTGTTTCAAGTACACTGGTACCTTGACCCACGAAGAATCTTCTCTCGATTTTTGAACACCATTAGAAAACTCGTTTGCCTTTTGTTTATACTCATTAATACTGTTGGTGGCTTGATATGCAGCTACTTCGTATTTTCCTTCTAAACTTCGGTTAAATTCATAGTCATAGTTACGGTTATCATCTTTATCTGACGTCATTTCATTCCCATTGATTGAAGCTCCATATTGATTTGAGTATGCCTTCTCCAACTCTCTTTGTCGAAGTTTCCTACGATAGTCTTCATAGCTTTGTATTTCTTCACTTCTGCTTTTTCTTTGCCAATTATTATCAACTGTCCTATCTTCGCCATCTTTCCACCCATCGCCATATTCTCTAATCAGCAGCTCGTCTCTGATACGAGGTCTTTCCTTGCCATCTTCTACATCACCATTCACTCTAGTTGCCTTGGAGAAAGAGTTGCTCTCAGGTCTTATCATAGAATGCTTAGCCTCATTTTGGTGCTCATTTGTACGTCTCCACTCATGACGTTCGACGTTTGGCATTATACTCTGGCCCCTTGAGCTGGTGTCCCTCTTTTCCGACCCTTTCCAAACAAAAGACTGCTCTAATATTTCCACTGGTTGTTTGTAAATTTCTTGGATTTTTTCTCTTACAAGTGGCCATTGGGGACTATGAAACAAGCCCTCCTTTTGTTTAGAGCCATTTCCGTTTCTTTTCCCTGAATTTTCATTATAGGCAGAGCTACCGTTTGCCTCAACACGGCTAACGTCCTCTTCCAATCCACTTCCAACAGGTCCTTTAAAAGGGCTGGTGAAGCTGAAAGTATTTCTTTGCTCTGACGTGTATTCAGCCTCCAAACTAGTGACTGTTTCCTCAGTATTTTGTATCCATTCTTCACTAATCTTCTCTGTATCTTTGTTACAAATAGTTTTATTGTCATCTGAAGTCACACAAGCTTGGGAGGATTGTCTTTTATCCTTTTTTTTTTGTTCCACCAAACCCCTATCAGTCTGATCAACATCTTTTGGCTTCAATTTCTCAAATTTGCAGGTTGCAAGACGTTTATTGATTTTCTCACTCTCTTCCTTCCATGAAATACCTGTTTTCGATTCATCTTTCTTCTCGAATTTTACTGTAAACGAGAGCCCTCCTGAATTTGCCGTTAGATCGGTTTCATTCTCCTTCATCCCGCCCTTGCCCCCTTTACCTTCATTTCTTTTTCTTGAGTTGTACTCACTTTGTTTTAATGCTAGCATTTCCATCTTTGCTCGTTCCTCTTTATCATCTAGAGTTAGGTCTGTACAGCTTGCATATGGCCTTCCATATACCTGATTTGATTCTGTTTTCAAAATTTCTCGAATTATTCTGTGCTTGCTCTCCTCCCGCTGCATGCGCCACCCCTTTCTACGATTAACAGAATCACTCTCGCATTCATTGTCATTTTCTCTTTCTGCCTTGATTCTTTCTCGCATTTCAATCAACTCCTTCTTCAGACTCTCGTTTTCTTGTTCAACCTTCTCTTTCTCTGCCAACAGCTCCTCCGCATTTCCTGCCAACTCGTCAATTCTTTCAAATCCATGAAAACTATGTCTTTTTAAACTGTCTCGGCCTCGGTTTGACCTTTTGGCTGACACAGTTGATTTACCAAGCTCCTCGCTATCATTAGAAACTTCTAGCAGAATCTTCAAATCCACATTCGCTGATTCAGAGTCCTTTTGCGAGTTATTGTTCTGATCAACAAGATTTAATCTCCCATTGCGGTATAGATCACTGATTATTTGCAACCTCTCTTCAAATCGATTCGTCGACTGTCGTAATTCTTGGAGTTCCTGCATCATGCTTGTTTTGTCCTTACGCAGTAAGTCAAGTTTTGCTTTTACATTCTGATTCTGCTCTCGCAGCTTCGAATTCTCCTCTCTCAATGGCACGATTGTTAGTTTCAATTCTTGAACTTTAGAATTAATTTCTTTGATCGCATGGTTGGCTGCTTCTAGACTTTTGCGCAAAACATTGTTGTCATGGGCTAAGTCCGACCTTAGTTTACATTCAGCATCCAGTTTTTCTTTTAACGCTTTCGATTCTAATTCCCAATTTCGTTTCTGATCTTGCAGCATCGAAAGAATAGTCATTATTTTACCGTGTTCGCGATTTTTCACTTCTGGGCTGATATCGTATACGAAGTGTAACGGATTCGCCTCATCTTCCAGATCCTTTCGCTCCATTGTGTCCCCGTCAATAGAGCTATCCTCCTCGGCCGATGTGTAACTGTAAAACTGTCGCTTTGGGCCGTGCCTTACATCCGATGTACTACGTTTCAGCCCACCTGCCTTTTTGCTGCGTCCACTGCGTTTTCTGCCTCCCTCCGTATCGCTTTCCGTGTCTTTGCGGGCTAATCTATCTTTCACCTTATTTCTACTGGAAACCGTAGGCTTGAAAAGCCGGCTTTCAACGGTTGATTTATGTTCTGTCTGTTTTCCCTTATTCATACTCGTTCCTTCAGAAAAGCTGCTCCTTCTCTGCGGCAAATCATGGAGTTCTGGCTGGACCCTCCTTGTTTCATTTAATGAAAATTTGCGGCTACGTTCTGGAGACTCCCGAGAAAGAGAGCTTCTCTTTATCCCCTGATTGGTAATTTGATGTTCAACACCAGAAAATTGGCTAGAGGTTTTGTTCTCTTCCTTCAGCTCTGATAAATATGTTTTTATCATCAATATTCCTTCATCAATGGAATCTATATTTCTTTCTGAGGAACCTTTTGCTTTCAGCTCTATGCTTCTCAAAATCGAGTTGCCACTGTTAAGTGTTATTCTCTCAGATTTTTCTGGCATGCTCAAACTGGTGTGTTTACCTGATAATTCAGAATCTTTAGAATTGCTTCTTTTCTCCTCTGTCAAAGACGACCGTTCAATTGCTCGACCTGGGTTACAACTTTCAGAGGTCTTTTCAAAGTTGTATCTAGTTGTTTTACTTGTTTTCAATGAGTCAAAAATCTTGGGCTGTGATTGGTCATTAAAAACAATACTTTTGTTATCAATCTCTGAATTTGCTTCTTTATTCTCCACACTGCTGTTATCATTGGCCGTGGTTTCTGATAAAAAGCTCTGTTTACCTTTTGGTGGGCCCTTTGTTTCATCTGTGTGGGAATTTTCATGTCTATCATTCTTTCTGTTCAATCCTGTGTTTACCTTCTCCTTCTCAGCTTGAGTGAATTTCATTAGGACCTCTTTTAACCTTTCCTCTTTTGCTTTGTCCAAAAGCACCTCCGAGTGTCTACTGTTTGGTACTGTTTTAGTACAATCCCATTCTCCTTCACTAATACCCTGGTTATCATTTGATTTCTGTGGTTTTTCTGACGTATCATTCTGTCTTTCTTTGCTTCCCAACAAAGCTTTTGTCCTTGTTTCAATAATGTTCTCCAAAATGTTTTTTGCTCCACTTTGCGCTTCAATGTTGGAAACGACTGCCTCGTAACTATAGCCTGATTTTGAGCAGATTTCTTGCAAACAATTTTGCATTGTAATCCTTTCAAGATACTCTTTCCCGAGACATGACAAAACTACTTCACGCTCCATATCCGCTTCTTTCAAGCCCTCTTCCAAAACTTTTATTCTCTCATCAACAGGCAGCTCAGGGTTTCTGTATGACGCTCTCCTTGCAGAGCCTGGTCTGCTATTCGGCTTCGTCTCCTTGACAGGCTCTCCATCCAAAAGATTCTCTCGACTAGAATTCAGCGAGCAAGATTCTGTGTTCTCGTTTATTTCGTCCATGAAAAATGACTCGATAACCTCGTTATCTACGCTCCTGTCTGTCTCATCGCCACTCTCTATGTCATATTTTCTTGCAGGCTTTCCGTGAGTAGGTGAATTTCGTCGAGGTGTCATGGCATGAGCCAAGGTATAATAACTATACAACATGGATTTGCTCTGCTCTCCTCTAGTTCTATCCATCTTTGAGTGCTGTTGATAAAATGACTCGTTACAGTCAAAACGTTTTCTGACGGGCTGGCAATGTATATAGTCTGAAAACTAGCTTTAAGGAGAAATTTGCAAAGCTTTTTACGAAGAAATGTGTGCTGGCCTATTGGACAAAGTATTTGATTGTTTTTTTTCATTTAAAAAAATAACCATTAGAGACGATAGTTGAAAAAGGCATCAGAACTGAAAATTAGGAAACAGTTAAGTTTTTATCGTTGAAAATGTTGTCGGTCAGATGAAAAGGCTGTATACACAGCAACGCCCTAGCCTGAGTAACATCTAGTAGCTTAAAATCAAGCAATGAGTATCGTAAAGGTGAAAGGCTTAATGTAATGACAATGCTGGGATGGAATACATTGGCTGAAAGAAAAAAGCCAAGGCTATGACAAATTAGAGGCCTTTCCAGCCTGGATACCTTTTCATCAAAAAATAAGAAAGATATTCAAAAATAATAACAATCTCATTGAATCCCAACAAATCTGTTTAAACCAGCAACTTCACATGGCCCCACAGAACATCAAGTGCTTTTAAGTGCCATTTCGCATAATGCGGTAAGATTTTGGAATGGAAAAAGAAGCTGGATACAAAACAAATCACTTAATTTTTCTGATTTTCCTAATTTTTAAGCTTTATGTCGTCCGGCTGACAGAGTTAGTACTATACTGTCTCAGTAAATTTGGTACATAACTCTGGGCAAATGTTGCAAAAGAGGCTAGCTTTATGGATTTAAATCTATTTCGGCCACAAGCACTTTATACTAAAAATCTATTTTAGGTATTGTACAATTTTCAATAGAAGGATAGCCTAAGTCACATTTCTTGTACCACTGGATACAAGAATAATTACAATTTTTACTTGATGTTTTCTTGTAATGAAAAGGTATCTAGGCCAAGAGGTAACGTGCAGATAATTTTGGTATTTCTTTCATAGACTTCATCGCAAAAACCATCACAAACTGAATTTTTGTCAATATGTTAATGAAATTACCAGCAAACAAACCCTTTCCTACTGACTGTTGCTTGACAGCAATCACCATGAAAAATTATGTATTCTGAGGCATCAAGCATACTAACTTATTGATATTTTTATTCAAGTTTATGGTAATCGCCCACAACCACATAAGGGAGATATCTTTATTCTGTGCCACAATCCATTTGCCCACAGCTGTATCTGTTTTGGTTTTTCCCAGGCGGATTGCCAAAGAAAGAGCAACTATCGCATCTCCAAAGTGGCAAGTCTCTAGTCAAAACCTGACAAGCATTGCCTAATAAAATTTTAGCAGGCAGCCGCCTTCCCGAAGCTAAAGCTTCCATGAGAATAAGCATCAGCTTAATTTCTCAAATCTGTTGCGCGTATGCACCAACAAGTCCGTGAGGTGAATGATTGTGCTTATGCTGGTGTCAAGCCTGTCCTTACCGGCACAAAAGTATTTTGCACTTGCGTGTTGCACTTACAATTCCTATATCCATGGCCAAATCGACGGGCCATTTTACCCCTTCTATGATACCAGGTAATATCCTTGCTCCATGTTTTGAATCTTTATATATTCATCCATAGTTGTGCATCAGAGTAGAATGCAATACCCTTCACACCTCAAGGGACTAATGTTCCAATTACGGGTCAGGCATCTCAGGAGAAAACTGTGGGACGTGCTGCCACTCCTATTGGTCACTTTGGCAACAACTGAGACGGGCCCCCATTTATGGTAAGCAAACCCACCGACAGGGGTAGAACATGTCAGGCACAAAAAGAAGGTGTAAACATGATACTTTACCACGTTAATTAGGATGAGCTGATTTAATGCAGCAGTGAATGAAGTTCTAGGGCTTTTGAAAACGAGGGGAACTTGAGTGAAGTCTAAAGAAACATGGGTATCTTGGGGGCCCCTTTTTGCTCTGAGGCCCTACGTTATCGAACTAAGGTGCCTTAAACTGCGTTACGCAACTTTCCCTTCCACCTATTGAAAACGAGAAACGTCTGTAGCAAATATGCCCAGGAAGCTGAACTTTCTGTAAAAAAACTTTCAGTCACGAGACTACTCGGTTCATACACCAGAACTGAGCCTTGGTTAACATTATGTCTTTCTTTGAACTGTGGTGGAGTGGAGCATTTGTAAAGGTTCCCTGGAAGGAGAGAGAAGAGGGAAGAAGACGCAACTTTCCCTCTTATCTCTCCTTTGCCTCCGCAGCTCTCGTTATTTTTTGCTGCCGTTAAATTTTTGCGGCTCTGGTACCCAGGATATAGTAAAGTTTGCAGGACTTTGTATCTGCTGACAACAAAGTCTGTTTTCTGACGTTCTTAGAGCGTCATCCAAAAATATACCATTAAAACTGCACTGAACCAAGATATACGAAAAGCCACCACACTGCATGCATATAACCTGTATAGAATGAGTTCATTTGCTATAAAAAACAAAGAGAGGCAAAATTAATGGTATATAATCCTTGGGCAGTTACATCTCTTAAATAAAGAAAGGGAAACTCATCGGTTGCATAATAACGATTAATACATTCAACCACAAGTTCGTGTGTCTGTTGTCACTTAAAAGAAAGAGATGAAACCGACCACCCATAAAAACATATCTTGTATTTTTCACTGGGGGTGTGTTTCTAGGCGACCATTCCAGCCGAAATCCCTGTTTCTTGGAAGACAAGCATTGCAAGCAATAGCGGGTATTCCATGTTTGTTGGCTAGACTTGTTTTAACGAAAACCTTTTGGAAGGGTATCTGCTTTTAGCAGGGGATCAGGTGGCTCTAAGCAAGGAAAATGTGGAACGACAAAAAATCTTTTACGAATAAATACTCTTTTCAAGAACGAATAGTTAGACTTGGAGCAAGCCTAACTTAAACGAATTTACATCAAAACAAATATTCAAAACAAGAGGTCTTTCTTAATTTTCTCAATGTTTTACTTCATATTTATTTTTTATCTGAGCCCTTTGACACAGTTATCAATTAATGGCCACTCTAGAGTAATTTCTTAGAAAACGCACTTGTAAGTAACTACAGTGGAAGAGGCAAGTTCTATCATTATTGACATTAGTAGCTGGATTTTTGAAATTTGATATTCTTTCTCTGCAACAATTTTGCCCGGCTTTGGTTGGCACAGGTTTTAGGTTAGCACTAAAGTGCAAAAGGGTCTCAAATCTTATGTCCCCGTAAAATACTGAAATGAGGTAGGACGAAATTTATGCGGTTGTTTTCTGCTCTTTTTCATGCCAAACCAATGCTTTCTCAATTGCAAGGAGAGAAAGGGGATGGTCGGTTGGCGTCCAGAAACTTAGCACTCGAAAAGTTGGGGCGTGCTTGTAGTCCCAAAAGAATTCCATTTTATAAATATGACATGCCACTGCAAATGAAATTGCGATGTCAAATAATATTGACCCTAATACGCAAGGCATTTCATAACGAAGACGTTTTCTCTTGGACTGCATAGAAAGCTTATGTCTTTTCAGCTTCACTACGCACTAACATCAGAATGCTTTTAATAGCTCCATGGGGCAAAGAGAAGTAAGCTTATGAGCCAGCCCTGAGGTGCAGGTACCCTAAATGCAACCGATATTTTTTCAAAGCTGCTCCTTTTCTATTGAACAAAGATTTCGATGGTCAATTTGGAGCATGACTCTGCTTAAAGCACAGCTTTGATATTTATCAAAATAGCACGATGAACACTGTCAAAACATTTTCAATATCAACAAAAACTAACGTAGCATCTTTATCCACAATTACAAACCAAGCATTCGCTTCGCATAATAAGAGACATGGCAGTGTAGAATATCTTCAACTACTGGCCAGTTGTTAAAAGGATTTACATCGCTTGAAGAAGCGACATAGGACGATAATTTTAGCTGCTTTCTTCACAGGCATTCTTAACTATTTATTTTCCAGGCTTGAAGGCTCTTGCGCAACCGGCATGCTTAGCGACAGTTGTCTTGAGAAACTGGTTCTGTTCTGCATTCGCATGCAGTACGATATTAGTCGCAAAGCGTGACGGTTGCGCAAGAGTCTTTAATGACAGATAAAATATTTCACCGAAAAGGTTGGCGGGATAAAGATGGGAAAGTGAATTTTAGAAGTTTTTTGACATTTATATTCATCAAAAATACACAGAGCTTGGTTTAATATTCAACCATAAATTCAAAGGGCTAGCCAAGGATCGGTGTTAGGTCCTATTCTGTTGAACATTTCGTAAGTTTAGACAACAATGACAACATTCCAACAAATGTTTCCCACAGCCTCAATGGAGCATAAAAATAACAATTTATAAATGATTGTCAAAGACGGGAGAATTCTTTTTTTGACTTAAGTAGGGAAGTAAATGTAAAAAGTGTAAAGTGATAGCAAACTAAAAAGAGAGTATATTTGTATAACACAAAGCAGCCTTGGCAAGTCTTATATTTGTATAGTGTTCTCAATCTATATCCTGACATTATCTACTCTGAAGCGTATCAGACGAAAAGTTCAAGTATGAGTCAAAATGTATGAGTGCTTTTATGATGAATCAAAATGTATGAGTGAGATCAAGTATGAGTGCTTTTTTCAAGCCTTTTTAAGTTTGTAATGGTATGCTAATAATTAGAAAAGGACTTCCAGCAGCTCTTTCTCCAACTCGAAATCCTGCCATAACATTTTATTTGATACTCGGGCAACAGTCGCTTGAATGATTCAGCTATGAGATGTGCAACAATTAACACCATTGCCAACTTAATTTTGTCAACTTCACTAACATCATCCCTATTATAACCAATAGTATAATTACAACAAAGCAAGAGGAATTCTCCATAAAACGCAAATGGCAAATACGTAGCTTTGTGAGCATTTTTAATTCATTTATAAACAAAGAACCAAAAAGGAAAGTATTTTTGAACTTTCGAATCATAAACAAACACACGAACACAATGCAACTCAAAATATCCCGATCCTGCAAACAAAATAAACTGCTTTTTTATTAGAATTTTTAACATCGGTATTATAATGCAACTGCTGCTTTAAAATATTTGCATTTCTGAATGTTTTGTTGATCTTCAGGTGTATATTGGCAATTCTATGGGCGATACTTAGCCACGGTAATGGAAAAAGACAATCTTTGTTAGAGACAAACTTTTAAGGTCTTATTCCTAAATGTGTAAAGTCCTTGTAGCTCGGCTACGCTCAAGAATAACGATAACCTTACTTTCTATTCCCATTTCACCCAACAATTTACCTCACAAATTTAATTTCTCAATTTGCGCTAAATTTCATTTCGCCCTATAGCGTTCTGCATCAGCAGCCTTCTTCCGGGAAAAGGTAGTAGAAATGCATCAAAAAAACTTGTATAAACGTCTCACCAGAATAAACGAACAACAACAGCGTTTCAATAAGACCCCAATAAGCACGCTTCAAAGACTACAATAAAAGATGAAAAAGAAACAGTTTATACAGATGTTCCTATTGACATGAGAAGCCAGTGACCTAACCTAATGACACCAGTGAAGTCACAAGAAAATTGCGAAGTTACGAATGTTTACGACAAGTTACGAATTCTAAAAGTCACGAAATTGAATTAACTTCAACTACCTGAAAGAAAATAGAAAATCTACAAATAAACAAAACTGACATCCTTCTGCTACCAATTTTAACATGTTCCAAAAGTTTCCCTCGAAGTAAATTTTGATCAAAGTTTTCGTGAAGATAAATTTCACTCATAAGTTTTGTAGTGGTACAAGACAAATATATTTTGCGCTAAAATGCCTTTAACGAAATGATTTGTTAGACTGCGACCCAAGACCGATCTAAAGGGAACATGGCTTGGCTCAAATCTTTCAAAAACGTTTGATTTTAGCTTTGCGAAACTCCAAGAGAATAAAGTAGAAGTAATCAACAAACCTTTAAGACTGTTTTTCTTTTGCATTTACGTCAGATGGCGGCCTTTATCCTTGCATAGGTTGACGAAGGATGAATGAGACACAGCTTGGACCCCAACAGCTATAGCGATTAATAAAGCAAAGACTGCGAATGTTATAACCGAATGCTCTTGTCCACGGATCTATGGGGTTGCTATCGAGTTGATGTTTTTCGCTATAGAATCGTTTCACTCGCGGCCCTGCCGGCAACGGATTGCAAACTGTGCGCATCAAAGTCGATTGTTCGAGCGCAACAACGGCTGTAGATAATAAGAATGTAAGGAATGCTTATCAAGTAAACTTTTGGTGGGAAAACCGATATGGGTTCCTCGCTGCTGCTCCAAAGGCCAAGTTCAAGTTGATAGTTGTCTGCTAACGCAAATGAAAGGGTCGGAAAAAGAAGAACAGTCTAAGATTATGTTCCATCGTTGCATGTTTTGAAGTTATTGTACCGAAAAAAATTCAATTACTTCGCTGGTCTTTTGTTACAATACACATTGCTGCGGTTGGTAGTAATTCCGCCTAAGTTAATTGAGCAAATCCCTAGAAACGAGTTTGACTTTGCACGGACCGTTTGTTGGTCAACATTGTTAGGGTCCGAGCCAGACTTTGAAGAGCCCCTTTTCAATCTTTAAAGAAAGGCGAGAAATGGCCTGAGTGACCCAGCTTTTACGTTACTATAGACGAGCTACGTTAGGCCAGGTTACTACAAATGACTTGCTTCTTGCTTGGTACTTATAATAATTCTTTGACGGTAAAAAAACGCTTACAACACGTTCTGAAAATAGTGATTCTAATTTACGTGATCAGTTAAGGAAATGAAAGGCTCTTTCCTATTAAATTGTTGTTAAAAAGGCCGGATACTGTGAAAATTAAACATGCCATAGAAGCTAGAAAAAGTAACAATGAATGTTTTCGTAAAGCTCCGAGGAAATAATATTGTGTATTTTTCTGGTAAAATAAAACTTAAATATTGCAGTTCAATAAGAAATACTATTTTAAAGTATTTTAGGCGCTTTGAGACTCTAAATAAATGAAGTTATAGAAATTGACATATTTGTTTCTCTAAGTTTGAAAAAAGATACAACATCTCTTGAAAGGCTTTTTCAGTTTCAATTCTGCTCTAGGGCGAATGTTTGTCACAGGAGAACAAGGGAAACTTTACGACAGAACGAGAATTAATTTCAAACAGCAAGAGGCTCAAAATCGAATCTTGGGATACACCAAAAATAAAATATAAATAGACTGCGTGAAAAGTGAGTATTTTGTATGCCATAATAGACTCCCTTGCCTTTTGCTTGATTATTAGCCACATGTGTAAATTTCAGCATAGTTTCCAATCAGTTTACAAACCCAAAATGGGTGACAGTCTTTCAAACATGGCAGGACATTTATAACATACCGGTTGTCTACTACAAACGAGGAAGACGAAATCTAACAGACATTTTATCCAAGGAAGTGAAAACAGATGATATTCCTAGACCTTTACCAAATAAGATTGATGAGTGAAAGAGCTTGGCAGTAGTTATGATACTTTGTCTAAAGTGCAGAGATAAACACCCCATATACTACGTACCAATTACGAAAAAATTCCATGTGAAACTGTCTTTTTCTGCGTAATAGATTGACTTCAGTGTATCAATTTGAGTAACATTTACCTCTGAGTGTGCGATTGAGTTCAAGTCCTTTTTGTCCTTTCATTCTCAAGTTTCCGTTTAATATCTTTATACTTCAAAACATCATTCTTTGTTACTGACGGTACAAGTTCTTTGATTGCATTCTCGAAATCACACATCTTAATCAAAATGCCACTTTCCTTTTTATTCTGACACGATTCCATATCAACACATCTTTTGATACCATTAAGAAACGCATCAGCACACAAAGCGTAAAAGTCTGCACCTGTTAGGTATAAAGGAAGGGCATATTCAATTACGTCTAAATCCACATCTGGACATAATTGCATTTTGTCCGTGTATGACTTTATGATATTTAATCTGTCTGCTTTAGTTTCTGGGAAACCCACATAGACCATTTTGTCAAATCGACCTGGACGCAAAAGTGAGTTATCAAGCAGATCTGGGCGATTAGTTGCACCAATTACAAACAAATCGTGAGAAGTCTGTAGACCATCAAGTTCTGCCAGCAGCTGAGAAACGATTCTGTCCATAACTCCACCAGAATCTCCACTTCTCCCTCGATTCGGCGCAATAGAATCCAACTCATCAAAAAATATTATACAAGGAGCAGATTCTCTTGCCTTTAGAAACATGTCTCTGACATTTTGCTCACTCTGGCCAACATACATATTTATAAGCTCTGGTCCTTTAACACTGAAGAAATTCAAACCAAATTCCGTTGCAACAGCTTTTGCTAAGAGCGTCTTACCGCAGCCAGGAGGTCCATAGAGAAGAATACCCGACCTTCGAAGCCCTTTAGACATCAACTCCGGGTACTGTAATGGCAACTTAATGGTTTCAAGTATATCTTCTTTAACATCAGCCAGACCGCCAATATCATTCCAATGAACCTGTGGAATGTCAGGTATACCTAGAGTATCTTTATATTCCAAATGAATCTTGCTAAGGGCCTCGTCAAAATCTTCTTGCTTTATTTGGCACATATTCCTGGTAGGCTCATCATGAGCTCGTGCAATGGTATTGTTTATTGCTCGGTGAACCAATGTACAGAAATCTCCCAACACCATGCCCGCTGTCTTTTTGCAAATGTTTTCAATAGACAACTCCAAGTTACAACCCTCTGGCAAAAGTGCATTTATAACGTTGGATCTCATTCTTTCATCAAAAGGTTCAATCTGGATTTCATATGTAAATAAACGAGTGATAGTGGAGCTCATTTGGTCGTAGCAATTTGTTGTCGCAATGACAACTACCGTATCTTCTACACTAATTGATTTTAAACACTTCTGAAGGCAATGCACAATCCTGGGCTCACCATCCTCATCATCATCGCCTTTATAAAACGCATGGACGTTACAAAGCAGCAACAAGCAAGGTGAGAAATACGCTGCCTTCTGAAACACCCCTTGAATTCGCTGCTCCACGGCCGCCAATGACTCGCCATTTAAAAAGTGACAATTTACCGGATAAAAATGTGCTCTAAAAAAGCTGGCTATCATTTGCGCAATCAATTGTTTCCCTGCAGCGGGTGGACCATGAAGTAGAATAGGTACATCAACAGATGGAATGTCTTTACTAAAAACAGGTTTTAACAGATCAGTCAATTCAAGAAACTGGTTTTGAAGTGCGGTTTTTAGAGCATTTGTGAAAAAATTAAACTTTCGTGAACGTTTTGCATCATATGGAACATGGCTATTGTCACTTCCTTTCAAAAACAGCGATGAGATACCATCTTCCACCCAAGCAACACTAACTTTTTCTCCTATATTTTGCAATTCCAAAACTTTGAACCATATAAATTTGGGACTCTCCTCTAAATCTTTGTATGGCTCACAACAGACCCCAAATATTTGATTATAAGACAGCAACTTTCTTTCCTTGAAATGGTTGATTAATAAACTCTCAAGATTAAGCTCCAACTCATCTTCAACTGGCGATCTAACTGCAGAAATAACACATTTGCTTGCAATAGTTGGTTCATAAAAGGAATCTTTGAGTTGTTCTAAAAATAACTGAACTTGCTCGCCCTCTTGGAACTTATTGAATGTTGCAACATCTGAAAAGATATTAAAAGCAGCCTCTTCAGAAATATAAACAATGTCTTTCTTAACACTGGTATCACAATTGTTCCAAGATGTTTCATATGAAATGAAGCTCAGAATCACATAGGGATGGCTTTGCAAAATTTCTTCATATCCAAGTTTTGTGGTCCTGTTTGGAAACATATACACATGCATCCAAGTATTATTTAAGATGTCAAGTTTGATCAGTGTGCTAGGTGACACCACTGCTTTATATGGTTTTATGTCAAATGTGGCTTTCAGAGCATTGACAGTTGTCTTCAAATTGCATCTTTTAGACTGTACATCCATGTCTGTTGTTTCTTTCTCGTCAAGTGAACTGAAGGAAAGCAATAGAGAAAAGGTGAAGATAAGCCTGGACAATTATTGTGACCATATATAATTGATTTAAGAATAAATACTGGAGCCTGACAATGGACACATTATTGGAAACAAGCAAACAGGCTGGCCTGATTATGTTATATTTTTTTCTTGAAATGCCTAAATGATATCACAAAATACTTTTGTGATAGGGGAGTGTTTTGTTTTTTTTATGTTACAAGGGACATGCTGTTTTACACTGTCCCCCCAATCTTTGGGCTGTGCATCCTACATAGCCAGACATTGCCCAAACATCCACATAAAGCAAACTATCAATCTCACAACAAAGATCTGCAAACATAAAAAACTATTTTTAACTCCAAATCTCTTCCTGCATTTCAGATTCTATTCTAGGTTTGCACTGGCCTTGAACTCCATCGTGTGGAGGCGCGATCGCACGCCTCATATTACAAAGACTGCCATCCTAGTCATTCCAGGCTGGAACTGCACTGCATAGTGTGATAAACAAGTATACACTTGATAATCAAGTTGGAGCTGAGGGTTATACATGATACCAACTTCTTAGCACTTTCAAATAATGTTTGGGAAGTCCATTCTCCATTAAAGACTTTCTCAGAACTGTCATTTAATAAATTGGATATAATATATATAACCTTATTTTACCTTTTAACACAAATTTCATAGAGTTTAGCCCTACTTTACAAGTACTACAAAAAGGCCCCTAATTTCCCCAATTTTATCAATAATTGGATCGGTAAACTAGGCTCTTGTAATTGCGTGACAACTAGCTTTACCTTACACATAGATTTCTAAGCATTGACAATGGCTTTGGTATGCTAGGAGCTGTTTTCATTCAAAAACATAGTTAGCCCAATCATTACATGCCATTAAGGCTCTTTACTTACTATATATGCAAGAGATTTGGAAATACACTCCAAAAAGCAATTTACAAGAATGAAATCATGGACTCACTCTTAAATCTTTTTTATCATTTGACAATTTTTTTGGCTTGTTGAAGCAAGGTAGAAGTAACCTTGTAAAATATTGCTTGCGGATGTCACATGCAGATAAGAGGTAAGAGAAAAGGCCTCCACTTCTATCATCTAAACTTTGTACTGAAGTATATGGAGACTGTCTCTAGAGCCTAATTTTACAGAAAAAATTTGGCATGAAACTGAAATCCAGGAATGAGCTTTGATGCATTGAGTACATTCGATTTATGGAAGAGAAAATAAATCCTATCAGCTATATGGTGCAGAGCAAAATATGGATTGAAATTTGAATATTATGTAATATCCAAATTAATAAACTTTTCATTTTCCTTATAGCAAAACTTAGAGTTGGATTTGGTCCTCAAAATGTGCATCAATTGAGCAAAAACTTTAATTGTTCATGTTCTATAGTTCCCTGTATATCAAACATTGGAAACAAGAATGATGGAAATTTCTGTCTCCAGGAAATACCTTTTTTTTTAACAATGCTCAGAGAATCCCTTTCAGTTATGGACAAAGGGGCACTTAGTAACCAATTGTTATTTGGCATTGTGGAATCAAACCTTGTCCCTAGGCCGGATAGCAGAGTGGAATCAAACCTTGTCCCTAGGCTTTGGCAGACTCAATAATAAATGAAACAGCTATTTAATATTCTGTGTCTGGGACTTGGGATTCTTATTTAGAGACTCTAGTATTTTTCTCTATTGCATTGTTCAAGTTCATTTCTTTTTGTTACAACTTTCTTAAATTTCATATGGAATGACTCAAAATCAATTTTTCTTAGAAAATAAGTCATGGAATTTGTTATTGTCATCCATTGTAATGGCTTTTGCTTTCCCCACCATGGTGATACATGTAAAAAACAAAAATCTCTGTTTCAATAAGAACTGGGCTTTGTTGCTAGGTATAGAAGTAGATAAGACAATTCTGCCAATAATTTGGGTGTGCAATGCAATACTCTTTTCGCCAAAGACTGCATCAATTTGACATACAATCCACCACACCTCAACAATAAAGCCTTGGTATACATTGTTGAATTAATATTGATACTAATAAAATTGGGTGGGTAATATGTGAGACATCATCATGTCAACAAAGTAGCTTAGAATCTCATTAAAATGAAATGTTTTCACACTGCTGGAAATTCTAATTCCCTTTGCCAGGTTGTAAAACATGTATGATTTCGCTGTGGCATCACTGTGACCAACCAAAGCATTTGAGCTCTGGACTGCAGAGTACAGCAGTTTTCAACGTGATATCGGTTGTGCAAGAGCAAAATTTCAAGAAGCTCAAAGATATTGACAAAGATAAGAAAATTGACATGACTGACAGTTATTTTGTATATATCAAACAAACGCACCATTTGACACACCCATGTAAGGCTCATATCTCAAAATGCCACACCCTTTACCAATGCGTTCCCTGCGCAATATTTTTTTCCTCAAATCCCGTACTGTGCATTTCTGCAAACTTTCATTAATCTGCACAGTTGCAACACGCACTTTCATGTGAATCCTGTGCACCGCCTCCCCACAAAGCTTACAAATGAAATTTAAAAAAATTAATCATGCAGCCTTTCAACTGCTATTTTGCAACATGGTTTGTTCACACACAAGCGTATGCAGCAGAAAATAATTCCCCACGCAAAAAATTACTTTGCACTCTCGATACTCTGCAGCAGGGCCGTAAATCTGTCATGTGAATTGGGGGGGTCAGTAGAGCGAATGAATATAAAGTATGCAGTGGGTCATGGCACCACAAGGGATTTATGGTTTGTGTTATGGAAACAGTTGAGGGGCAAATTACTTTAAAAACAAAAGTCAATATTTTTGGATTTCTCAAGACTTTCTGCTCTATAGAAGGTATTTACAGATATTCCTTAGTACATTGACTTGTGTGTATGATTGGATGGATAGCATTTTTCAGAGACGGCCCGAAGAAATTGAACCTTGGGAGCTAAGAATCAAGTTTACTCTCGTAGGAGGACCCACCATGGTTGGGTCGGACGCGGAAGAAAATTTTTGAAATTTCACCTTCTAGAAAGGCTAAAAAAGCATCCCCCAGACTAAATTTAATAAAATACTAGAATCGCTCAGGATAGAAAGTTTGGCGTTTCTCAGAAGAACACAGATTATTGTTTATTGGGTGAAATTTTGGAGGGGAAGAGTCATGCTTAAACCTTAGAGACAGACTTTGGGGAAATATGGGACACTGTTGTATTGATTGGTAGAAATTTACTTTCTGAACAGAAATGTGCGTTTTCCTTATTTTGACTGATTTCAGTAGGCCATGTTTACACATCAAAAATGAATACATTTTAATGATACAAAAAGTGATTTTCTAAATAAAAGAAAATAATGGACAAATAATAGAAATGTACGTAAATAAGTTAGTAAATAGGTCAAATAAAAAAACAGATTGCTCTCTTTTTATTTCATACTCTGTTTTCAAAAATAAAACGGTAAAAAACAGCAGAAAACGGTAAAAAACGGTAGAAAACGGTAAGTTTTTATATTGTAAAAATTATAAAAACCACTCTGCTTACAAAAATAACCTTAGTGGCTGAGGTTTGTTGCAATAACACAGAAAACTTAGTTTGGTTCTAACCCGGCTACCAGGGATTTTTTTCTTCCAAGAAAAATGATGGTAATTTCTCCAAAAAAATCGTTTTGCTCCAGATTTTCGGGGGGGTCCAGTCCCCCCCGTCCCCCCCGGGATTTACGGCCCTGCTCTGCAGTCTGGTTTGACTGTGAGCAACGATGCCCACATATACATAACTATAGTATGATATACAAGACTTCGTTGATTATGGGGTGCCAAGAGGTCCGAGTTGCGAGCACAAGAAGTCTAGCGTAGCTGCGCCAACCTGGCCCCGTAGATATTTTTTCGACATCGGATCTTGAGAGTTTATCTCCAAGTCCTTTAAGATAAAAAATTATCGAAAATCTTAAGAAGAGAGTAATATACCTCACGTAGTCATACTATTTAATCCAGTGTTCAATTATATAATTATACCATTCTTCTAAATTGGTGTGCCAATGCAGTTACTGATGCCAGTCACTTAGATCAGTGGTACCACTGCCAGCGCCATTTTGAAACACATTAAAAGAGGCTAATCGCGAGAACGAGATTTTATCGGAGATCCATTTGCTGGAGGTAAAAATGGCGTCAGTGATCTCTTCGCTTAGTAAAGGTATCGGGCGACTGCCGCCAATAAGCGCTTGTTTTCGAAATGTTCTCCCTTTGGTTTCCTCAAGGTATAACTGCTGTACTTAATTTTATTTTCATCAACTTATTACACCTAACGATAGACATAAGTCTTGCATTGCACGGAGTGCCTGGTATGGTAGCAAGATTTGAATCAATTTTTGTTTTCCTAACAATTGTTAGCCCTTCTCAAAACTTAAAATGTAATAATTCATTTCAGTTTTAGCTCCCTTAATTATTGCTTCATCCCACTGTATTGTTTATATTAAGATAAGATAGAATCACTTTGCAATTACAAGGAATTATGGTTGTTATTATGTAACATCAAAATTGTTCACCCTTTTATTGCTCTTGTGAATTAACAGATCAATTACCCAAGTTCCCAAAGAAGAAGTGCTGAAGCAAATTGAGAAGCCAAAGTACCCTGGTGAACTTGGGGAATATACAGGTGCTGTGTACTACCCAGATGAAGTTACCTCAAAATGGGATGATGAAGGTAATCCTATGTGCACAACCAGTCTACACTACCAGGACAAAAGTATTGCAACACCCAAATGAAAATGGCATCCATACAAAAAATATGCAAAATTGCAAACTTATGTGAGAAAATACCTAAGAGAAAATAATCATGCTAAACTCTTTAAATTAAATTAAGTCGAATTCTTTAAATTTATTGAGGGTTTCAAAATACTTAGAATTACAATATTAACATAACCAACTTCTTTAGCCCTGAAATTTTTCAACTCAACTTGGGTAATTCTTTGGGTACAGTTAGGCCCATATAAATTGATAAATCATCAAGTAGCAGTATGTGAGAATGATACAAAACAGTCTCTTTGGTGGAATCAAATCAATGCTAGGGAAATGAGGAAAGCGGCCCTTTTCATAAAAAGCAATACATCTCCTTTACAAGGCCATTTTTACTCAAGTTTACCTGAAAAGCTGCCATTGTATCTATATTGGGTGCACAAGTATGGGACAATTTGTTTTACTTTGTCCTTATTTTATTGTTTGGGCTTATGTTGATTTTTCTACTAAAAAGACCATTCAAGAATGCTGTATATATTTTCTTTTGATGTTTTGAGTTACTATGACTCATATTTTTTCACTTTGCCTATCGTGTTTGTTGTGCTGTTATTGAATAGTTGCCTGATGATCGCAATAAGCATGGAACTTGGAGTAGCAACTTAAAACAGTCCTGTTATATAAACAAAGTAGCATGTACTGCTCTGCCTAAAAGGTATCAAACACTTTATGATAAAAGGGTAAACAATAATTTTCATTATTGAACTTGTCATATAAGAATGCTTTCTATATTCTACTTGCTTTGCATGCTTGGAATTTGACCTTGCTATTGGGTTGTTAGAGTCAAATTAAAGTGCAGATTCAATTATGCACTTATGCAATAGGTCAAAGCCATTATACATATATAGATATACTCCAACTGGAAAGTTCCCAAGGCATAACTTGTGGTTTTATGTCACTTTTTCAGAGCTTGTTATTGAAAAAGGTGTCACAAACATCACATTAAACTTTGGACCACAGCACCCTGCTGCCCATGGTGTCCTTAGACTGGTCCTTGAGCTCAGTGGAGAGGTCAGTTATTGGTTTTTTATTTATGTCCTTAGAGTTTAATATTTGGTACCTGGTCATCAGAATTATCTTAGCTAACTTTTTATATTTATCCTAAGTGATAAAATTGATAATGTTTAAACTATAAAGAGTATTCTTGGTATGATCACCACATATAAATTGTTACCATTAGATAATTTGTTCATAAATATTTTTTAGGTGGTAGAAAGAGCTGACCCACACATTGGCCTTCTTCACAGAGGAACCGAAAAGTTAATAGAGTACAAAACTTATCTCCAGGTGAGTTTTTCAGTATTTATGTACAGTCTTGTTGCATTTATGAAGCCAAACATTTTGAGTGTTGAAAACTGAAAGTAGCAATTACCTAACATCTGTATGCTGTGCTGCCTATCTGATGCACACATTTTTTACTAACAGTGCAGTAGAGGCACTTGAAATGCAATTGGATTAAGGTTCCCAGAAACTTATGTTTGATAATCAGCTAAAAAGTAATTTTGAAAAACTGGAGCTGAAAATTATAGAATGTTACAGAATTTCTGGTAACTATACTGTACCATGGAGAAATGTATTAAGGCTCACTAGGTCATCAGAAAAAGAGAGCAAAAATCAAACTTTTAAATACCATAGCTCCTTTACAGTTGTTATCATTGATGAATCTGTTTGTTATCTTTGATACAAATGCTGAGATATGTATTTCTGGGTCTTAAATTTAAATGTGAATGTAAACAGATCTTTTAGGAAATTTGAATACCATAAAAAGCATATACCTGCAATGGACATGGCATAAAGATACACATTGAAATAATTCTTTAGTGTAAATTACTGTTTATCGGTCTGTCACAAAGTGTTTGATGCAGTTATAGGCAGAGCTGTACACACTGTTTTGTGTATTTTGAGAAACTTGGGGTAGCAACTTAGAACCACCCTACTCTATACTCCAAATGTATATTTTTTGTGCAGGCTTGATTTCTTTATCCTGTGGCTTATCATGTATATAATTCACATGTCTACATGGTTGCTCAAAACTTATGTTTATTGAAGAATTTTTTGCCAAAAGCTACTAAGGTTGAAAACACACACAAAATTTCAAGTCCTGCTTAGTGATTTAATGCTAAATTTTGTCAGAAAGTTGTTCTCTTCGCCCTTCCTTTGTACCCTGTTTATGCAAAGTTTTATAGGTTAAGTTTGTTTTTATTTTTCAGGCACTACCATATTTTGATAGACTTGATTATGTGTCAATGATGACAAATGAACAATGCTACTCGCTGGCCGTTGAGAAACTGCTAAACATACAGATTCCTGAGAGAGCAAAATGGATAAGAGGTACATACAGTAAAACTCTTTCTAAGTACCCCTATTTTTTCAATGTTTCTTATTGCCAAAGCTTTTATGTATCCTATCTTGGCAGTTCGTAGATTTGTTGTCAAATGAGAAAATGGTTATGGAACAGCAACAGAAGCGTGAAACCCTCATTATTTGCAAGAATTCTTCAAGATATAGCCGTATTTATTGCTTGATGAAGCTCCATCACTTGAACCCAACTGCTCTGTCACCCATTAATTGTTGTATTGAGCTCAAGCAAAACTTTTTTGAACAAACTATGAGGCTAGATACAGCACATTTCTCAGCTTACTTTGCCATTATTTTACTGAATACCAACAAAAAGTATTCATGAAAAGAGGTATTTTGATTGGTTGTAGTTCTGTCTAGGGTATTCATTGCCTATTCATGACAGGACTCCTTTCAACATGAAGTAGTTTGATCTTTGACATTAGCTTCACAGATTTCCCAGCCTTCAGGTGCTTCACAGCATTGACAATGTCTTATTTTCCCATTAATTTTGTGATTTTTTAACTTGTACCAATAGCAAAATAGTGAAGACAACAACAAAATTATTCATACTATTGTCATTTTTAAGTTATTACAATGTCACATAATATTGATGTTTTTATCTTAAAATATCAGGGTATTAACTGATTACCTTGAAGACCCAGACCCTACATCACTGTTTGGAATAATACTCCTTACTATCTACTTATTTATTCTATCCAGTTTGAAGTTTAAGCCCAGGTGCAAGAAATCACTGATATACAATGAATCTCTTTATGTATATTTTCTCATCATTTTATGATTGTTAAAGTTTTGCCAAATTCACTAGTAGCTTTAGTGGATCTCAAAAGATATTTTTTATTTTAATTTTTCTATGATAATTTGTTTTTTTGTTTTAGTTTTATTTGGGGAAATAACAAGAATTTTAAATCACATTTTGGCTGTGACAACTCATGCAGTTGATGTTGGTGCATTCACTCCACTTTTCTGGTTGTTTGAAGAGAGAGAAAAGGTTTTAATTTTTTTATTTTTCTCACTGCTTAACAAACACAATATTATCAGCACCTGAAGTGCAATTGTCATTGTTGATTTTCCTCTTATATTTCCAGTAAACACATTCGCCATCAGCTAGATTGTCAATTTTTTTGAAGTTACACTTCTGCAAAGCATTAAACAGAGTTAAGCTAAAGGCCTTTTGAACTCAATTCTTTCTTTTAAGAATGTTGGTAGGCATTGTCTGTTTTTTTCTCTCTCTCTCTAAACGTGAAGCTTTTCCTTTTTTGTTAGCTTCAGCTTATGCATCAAGAAATGAACACCTCAAAATTATTCAAGAATATAAGTCTCTACTAACACTATTTTACGAAGATTCATTGTTTTAACCCATCCAAAAATTCCTGTTTCTTGTATTAAAAGTTTTCTTTGCTAATTAGCAACTCTTCTCTCTATTTAGTTAATGGAATTCTATGAAAGAGTATCTGGTGCACGATTGCATGCTGCTTATGTACGACCTGGTGGTGTCTCACAGGTATCCTTTATGAGCTCTTTCTTATTGTTTATCATATGACACACAACCCTATTTTTTATACATATAGATTACTCTAATTGCTTATTGTAGGTTTTAATGGTAGCTTTCAGAAGAACAGAGGTTTAAAGATATCAAATAGTATTGCATTTAATTGTAAAAGATCTTTAGCTAATGAACATTTATCATCATTAGACTATACAAAGACTAGTATCTGCAAAAAGTAGGATATGATTTTACTAACTATCTTTCCTTCAGGATTTACCACTTGGATTAATGGATGATATCTACGATTGGTTGTTAAAGTTTGGTCAAAGAATAGATGAAGTTGAAGAAGTAATGAATCTTGGTTCAAGTTGTATTCCTTCCATTTATCTCATGCCCTACCCACTTTTAGGGCTTGTCTCTATCAAGATAAATATACACATATATATTTTGTCTCCATCAAATATTATTCAAAAAGGACTGAGCAGCGCTCAGGATCACTGAGCAAATTAAGTAGGGTTAGCAAACTTGCCAAACGTAACGAATTGAGCAATCACTTAAGTGGTCTACGTCACTGACCAGAACAGATGCCAATTTTAATGTTTGGTGCGCACTCAACAGTGTAACTCACAGTCCACACACAGTGTATTCAACAGAAAAACCTATCGTTCAATGAATATTAATCCGTAAATCATTTGCAGATGCTAACAGCAAACAGGATTTGGAAGCAAAGATTGGTTGACATCGGAATTGTCACAGCCGAAGAAGCTATGAATTATGGATTTTCGTAAGATTTTTTAATTTTTAGGAGCTTATTCAGACGTCTTTAAAGAATAAGGGAAAATGATTTTTTTTGACTAGAAAAGGAACTACCAGCTAGGATTTTATGAAATCAAGATTGATTGTGCCTTTTTTAATCATTTGGAGTGGGGAAGGGGTCCTTAAAGCTGGCAACATTTTAAGCAAGGGATTTCAAGTATCTAAGTTTGCCCAAGTACTTTTAAGCGTTTTATGTAATTTGAAGCTTGAAAAGAATGAAAGACTACTGAAAACCTCTTGGTCTACAATTATTTTAAAAATTCCTACTTTCTTATCAGTTAATTCATCACAACTTGCTTTATCTTTAAAGGGGCATTTTGAAGTGGAGAGAAAATTTATTTAAACCCTATTTACCTATCAACTTAATAGTATCAAATTACCCATTTAGGTAGAGTGTGCTGCACAGATGCTGCCTTTAAAGCCTGACCTTCTCGTGAATAAAGAACGCATTTTTCAGTATATTATAATTTTTGTCCAAATAATCATGTATTTCATATGAAATACTGTGCAGATGTTAATACGTGTTTTTTGAGCTTTTTTATTTCCATTTGATAATCACCATATGTTATTCATTGTTACAGCGGTGTGATGCTTCGTGGCTCAGGAATTAAATGGGACCTGAGAAAATCCCAACCATATGATGCATACGATCAAGTGGAGTTCGACGTACCGGTTGGAAAGCATGGCGATTGTTATGATAGGTTAGCTCTCTATTCTTTTTTTGTCAGATTTACACGAAAAAGTATAGAAATAGTATCCATTCGAAGACAATACTTTCACGTTTAAGAAAAGCATTCTAAGTGGAAAAGCAAACTAAAAAAGTATTCTTTTATTATGTTTTGAGTTTGTTTCCTCCTTTTATACAATTTGTGAATTTGTTTTACTAAAGAGTTGTTTTCCTTGCATTTTTCTATAGTTTATTTTATTCTTAAAGGTTGGTCTATAGGATTTGAGTTGAAATGCCACCGTCAGGCTTGTCTGTATTATAAAAAGTAATTAATTGTGAAAGTGCGTGTCCTTACTTATGTCTAATACCAGAAAGCTAGACACGATTGGTCAAAAATAGGCTCATTTTTACAATGGTGACTAGATGTTTTTTTGATCGACAGTAAATTCGCGAATTAGACTTGCTAAATTGATTAAGGAACTCGTCCAAAAATCTTACAACTGAGACTGACGCTAGCCTATTGAAAACCCTTATCAGTAACTAAAGATAAAGCCTGGTCTGAGTTTGCTTCTGAGACCTTATGTTGGCTTCCACCCAACGTCTTACTGTTCCTGGTTTTAAGCACAAAATATACGAAATCGCATCATTCAACATGAGATTTGATGCAAAGTGAAATCGGACTAACGTAGTACTAGATGTTGCCCCTGTTATTTCTGTGGTGAACAAAATTTCAAATAGTGGAAAACACTACAAGCAAACGTTCATGAAACCAAACCTCTATAAAGATCTACAAAGTCTTTTCGACCCGCGATACTTTCTTTTGTGGCTGTTGTCCTGGTAATTAGTAAATTAATTAACTTTTTCAATGTGACAGCCTTGTTTATTCTTGATGCGGTTTTCAACAGGTATCTTTGTCGAGTTGAAGAAATGAGGCAGAGTATGAACATCATCCATCAGGTTTGTTCAGTTGAATTGAAACTTTGCTCATTACAAGTTCCCAATCGTGGAGAACAACATAAACACAAATGATCAACTTTCAGCTTTAAGCTTCACGACTGTAGAGAATCTTTTGTGACGTCACATCGTTTGCCTGCCCATTAGAACATGACACAACCCTAGCTTTTATCCCTTTGAATCTATGTTTTTTATGCTGTCTTTTACTGTCATTAATCTCATCTTCTCGTAATATTACACGTAAATGTTTTAGAAGAACTTTTAAGCATTTGTAACAGGAACGCCAACTAAACATTCCTTTATCTATTCAGCATCTTAATTTTTGACTCCAAAAATATATAGAATGTAATTCCTTCAAGTACTTACTTTGAGATTGGTTCAAGGTACTTTGCTACTCCATCGCCTCCCCGAACTCTGTGTCTCAATATCTTTCAAATAAATGCAGTCCTAAAATAGAATTGCAACCAGATTCTTCCACAAATGACAATCTGCACCTTTTATTTTGAAATGCATTTAAATTACTCGATAAGAAAATTCTATTGAAACAGTCATAGTAGTACGCCAGATCAAATTTATCTATTTTGATAAATTTTTCTTTTACGCCTACATCCCCTATTCAATCCACTCTGCTACCCTTTTTTCGTGGTTTTTGGTCCCTCTTACCGTAAGCCACCCTGTAAGTAAGTGCAGCTAAATGCAAAATGCTAATCGATTCCTTTCTCTTTGACAGTGCCTTAACAAGATGCCAGAAGGACCAATCAAAGTTGACGATGCAAAAGTTTCCCCGCCAAAACGATCTGAGATGAAGGTAAGTTCCGTGTGTTGTAATATTCTCGTGCCATTTACGTAGACTTGAAAAATCGCAGTCCTGTACATTTCTATAGTCATAAAATGTCATCTTCATTATTTAAAGTGATGTCACAGCAATTAAATCGTAATCAATATGAATCCATTTAGTAATTTTTTCTTCTCCTTCTCCTCCGCTGTCCACCAAGGCTTGAAGTAGGTGAATTGTAAACCTCGCCGCCAAGCTTGTTTCCTTTTTTGTATTGATTTACTCTAATTAACTTTGATCATGGATGCTGACTTTTAACTTTCTCAGGGGATCGCTAAAGATGGAAGAAAATGAAATTGTTGCAAAAAAAGTTTTATATCATCCTCAAAGAGATCTGGGGCCTACAACTTTGAAACCTCTTATTCATTATCTTGACCCTAGAACTGCTAGTTCTCATGTCTACAACTTTGAACCTTAATGCAGACCTTTGACCTTTGCTCTTATAATTCAGGACTCAATGGAAGCACTGATCCATCACTTCAAACTGTACACCGAAGGCTACAATGTGCCACCTGGTTGCACCTACAGTGCCATCGAAGCTCCAAAGGTTTATATTTCCCACTGTTTTCTAATATCCAAAAGCTTTCCTTGTACTTGTTTCTCTAGAATTTGCGACAACTTTAAGGTAAATAGGAGCTGATAGGACAAGAGGTTGACCTTTGTTAATCATTGAATGAAAATGTCTCTAAAATCTGTTCATTTTTATTAAGAAATTGAAGTTTGATTTATAGTATAACGTTTGAAGTACGAAGTTTGGAGTCGATAAAATGTTGTCCACAAAGACAGTGAAAATAGAAGTGAGATATGAAAAGAATTAGTCAGCTTAACAGGAGGAAGGCTAGTAATGAGCTTTCTCAACATTCTTTGTTTTTCCGGTTTTCTGTATAACTGCAATGAGGAACGGCGCAGTATGATGGCAGAGAAGCTCCAAACAACGTCCAATGATTTGTAACATATAATTGTACAAATCCATTTCATTCCTTTGCTCTTTTCTACCAACAAGTCACATCTTATTGCATCGGACTTCTTTTCTACTATTCGTATAGTTCCCGTTTATCGTGTTTCTTTGCATTAGTCTCTTATAAAATAGCGATTAACCCTGGTAGACATATATTTCTTGCTCTTTCTCGACATTTCTTGAAGCCCTAGATTAGATTAATGTTTTCGCGAAATGAAATGTGACTGGTTTCATAGCACTTTTTTCTTTTTCAGGGCGAGATGGCTGTTTATCTCGTATCTGATGGAACCAATAAACCCTATCGTTGCAAAATTAGAGCACCCGGTTTCTTTCATTTGGTAAATATCCAGATTTTTTAATGGCTTGATGAAATACACATTTATCATGCTAAGTCATGTATATATGAGAGTCATGTAAAGCTGCTAAAATGGATGAATGATGCAAAAAAGGCTTTGTCTTCTCGAAGCAAGGACAAGGTTTGTTCCTCATAGAGAAGCATTGCATAAAGGGAGGCATTGGCATGTTCAGATTCCTACCTTTGCTGGTTCCTACCCTTGCCGGTTTCTGCCCTTGCCGGTTCAAATCCATGCCGGTTCCTACCTTTGCCGATTCCTACCCTTGCCGGACTCTACTCCTGCCGTTTCCTGTCTATGTGGGTTCTCATAGACTATTTTGTGACAGACAGGCATCCTTTAAAGTGAATGACCTGATTTGAAAACAGATATCTCTAGCTGTTTTCTGTTGTGCCGGAAGTAGATTTGACCATTATCTATTTAATAGCGTTATTCAAATTACATACAATCTTTCCCATGAGCCTGGATGGAAGTGAACCGCATATCTTCAAAGCATCGACCTTTAGCTCTGACCATTCACCTAAATTTGCGCTAGAAAAGATCACATGGAGATATGATCACCGAAAGATCACCTATGTTAGACGTTGCAAGAGAGCTTCAAATTTAAAGAGATTGTTGAGTAACAACTGTATAATAAATTCCAGATGTGTTTTGTGAAATTTCGCATATAATTTGATGTGTAGCAGCCTTGTCTCAGAGGATTTGATATATTGCTCCTTTTTAGGCGTCGCTTGATTTCATGTCAAAGGGTCACATGCTGGCAGATGTAGTGGCAATTATAGGTATGTTTCCCCTGCCATATTGTTTTGCATATATTTTGCAAGAGCCGTTACTGGGCTCCAGTAAGAGTAGTTTTGGCACCACTCAAGAATATCAAGAATACAAGTATATGATGAAAAGTGTTGGTTTTTATTGGTTTTTGCCAGGTCATTTCATTAATAGCAAATATTTAAGTTACACAGATAATTACCAATTTGATTTTAAAGGAGGAGTTTGCCGTCTGGTTCCATTTGATAGTGATGAGTAATGATAACAGAAATGTTTCTACAGGAAAGAGTCTTATCTGTGTCAAAAGCAATTGAATCATTAAAAGTTCTGTTAAAGTAAACACATCTTGAATAGAGAATAGCTCAGAAAATGTTTCATTGAACAATTTTCCGGAAGGCAGCTCCAATTGTTGGGGATATCAATTGTTTCGACCAGTTATGCACAATCAAGGCAACCGTTGTTAAGAGTAGACGTTTTAGGCCAATTTTGGTATGGGCAGGCCTAGCCAAGTGATGTTATTTAGTAAATAAATCGTGAATCAAAAGAAGTGTCGATTTTTCTCTAGACAAACTATTCTCGGTATGCGAAAGGAAAAGAAAATTTTTATCTGTTATTCCTTACTTCATATATATTGCCTTTAAAAATCAAGAGCTGAATGCCTTTTTGCTAACGCGCTGCTGACACCCCTTGTTTGTGTTTTAGGAACACAAGATATCGTCTTTGGAGAAGTTGATCGCTGAGTCCCGCGCGATGAGATCATTGACTAGTTAGCTAGTTTGCCTGAGTATAATTTGTACATAAATTAAATCTACTCAAAGACCGTTTGGTGACAGGAATTCTTACGACTTGTTTTGGAGTGGAATACTAACTATTTCTGAATTATTTTCTGAAAGTCAAACAGCATTTTAAAGTACCTTTTTGCGTTTGATCTTTATAGCTTATGATTATGCTCTCATTATATTGAGGTAGTGTTGTGCGAAGCCTTAAAAACGTCAGAATACATCTTCTAATCATTTGTGAAAAGGTAATTGAAGCAATAATGATTTAAAAATTAGCCCATTGATTTTTAATACGGAACAGAAGTCACAATGGAAGTTATGGGCAAATATTGCTCCATCGGAAAAACATTGAAGAGATATCTCAGTGTCAGTCGTGAAGCTACCTTCCCACGTCACTTAGAGCGAGTTGGGCCGTTGGTGCATTGGCCCATTCGCTCGACCTATCATACAACTCTAGCAGGGAAAGGATACTAAGGGACGTTTCACAAAAGCAAATGATGTAGGGGAGAGAATGAACAGGAAATTTTGTTTCACGCTACGAGCCTTTGTGCCCTTCCTAAAATCACCAAAGCGACAAACAGCATTAAAAGATGCCTAAAGGCACGAGAAGCTTTCACGGTGCCGGAAAAAGAAACTCAATATTGTCAGCAATATACAACCAAAATAAATTTTTATATGAAGACACCAATTCTATTTAAGTAAAGAAAAGCACTTTTGTAATGAGGCCTCACCAATCAGAGTGAGACCTATGCTATGCTGAATCGTTAAATACCCCTAGTTCAACCAAGGTATAAAAATGCTATGAAATCACACACCTTACCCTAGTATTTGAAAGCAAAATCCCAAAAAGGCCAAAAGACTCAACAGCACTGCATTTGAACTTGTCAGGTGGGTACAAGAAAAAGAGGATGATGCACGTCACAAGAGATTTTCAAGAATAGCAATTAATAGCAAACAACTCAAGGCAAAGCTGTACTGAATTGTTTTCATGACAGACCAATGTTTGGTAGGGTGTGGACTTGCTACAAGTCTCTAAGAAAAAATGGGAGGGAACGAGAAGTCTCTCCTTCCCTTCCATTTTTCCCTTTTCTCTTTCTTTAAAGAGAGAGACTTGTAGCAAGTCCAGGTAGGGTGCTGTTAATCATACAAGGCAAAGGCTGAGATAGCAGGGGTTGACTTGAGAGCGAATACAAAGGAAAGTACTCTGATTCTCTTTGCAGAAGATGTGGGGCCCATGAGGAATATATTGAACACTTATGGGATTGCCCAAGTTTTTATCAAAAACCCAAGATGGAAAAGACCTGTTTAGTTACAAATAATTCAAAAATTCTGAAAAGTATCAACAACACCCTTCAAAAATTTCTTACCAATGGATGAAATAGAAATAAAAAGATTGTCTAAAATTATAGCACCAGCTTGTGATACCCAGTAGTTGGGTAACTGCTCCGAAATGGAGACTTGGCTTCAATTATTATTATTATTATTATTATTATTATTATTATTATCATTATTATTATTAGGGGGCTAAGGGGCTTGAACCCCCACCCCCCTCCACACACAAAATACACTTATTTTCAAAAGGTACATTTGAGAACCTTCATGTTTTATACTGGTGGAAATCAAAGCCCTCGATATTTCTAAACCTATCGCGGCCCTTGCAGGCCTTAATATTCACACAATTATCCTGATTGCGATATACAAATTCTTAAATTTTGAGACTTAGCAATATGTCTTTATATTTAAGTAATTTATTAAACTAAACTTAATCGATATAAATCTCGACCAGAACAACTTGGGAGGTTTCTCTTGAACAAGATTGGGGTTGTTTTTTCCAATACCATCCAGAGGCCTTGCACAAAGGGTCAGCCGTAATCTGGCTCTTTGTTTTCATTAACAAACTTCCGATATCATTGTCGATATTTTAAGGCACAAATCAAAATCATTTTGGGAGGCGCAGCAGTATAGTAGAAATGCAAATGAGAAATATTTTGGCAGTTCAAGAGAAGAGTACAACAACCGGTGACAGTTTTTGCAGTATTTCTAGTTTGGCGGTTTTATTCGGCTACCTGAACTATTTCGATCTTAGTAGCATTGAAGTATAGAGTTCTAAAGTGATGACGTCACAAAATTCTTTTAGAATTTTTTAATTTGGATCCCATAACCTGAAAGAGCATCATGAAATACCTCTAAATTTGCAAAATCAGGCAAGTGTATTACGAAATGGCAGAGATATGGTCACATGTTTATTGGTTCTCTCCCCATCAAACCTCTGTATTTTGGTCTCTGTTCATAACTTTATGAACAGAGCCAAAATAACAGTGATTCGTTAGCAAACTTCAAATCTTTCATTAGCCATATCTCAACCGATTTTAGACATATTTGGCCAATTCAGCGTATTTGGAAGTATTTCATGGTGATCTTTTACGCTATGTGGTTCAAAATTTAAAAATTCTAAAAAAAGGTTTTTGATGACGTCACACTTTAGAACTCTATTGAAAGATCACTAATTCTTTATATTCACCAAAGATCGAAAAATCTATTAGCAAGATTTCCAGAAAGTCGAAAGAGATGATGTACATCGAAATACCTGACAGACCAAAACTACTTTGACTTGAGCAAAATCTCAAAACCATGAATGTATTTGATGACTAAAAATAAACTTACCGGGAGTTGATAATGCACAAATGAAAAGCACCAAAGCATTAACGAATTCTGCTTCATCTTCAGTAGTCCTAAGCCTAGCGACAAAGGCATATCGAGTTCAGGTTCGAGAGAACAAACTGTACGTAATTTCAACATAAGTGAGCTCATAATTCTAACGTTTGTCCCTTGGGTATATGTCAATAAAGAAACGGAGTTTAAAAAAATCCCCAGACACTGCGCAAATCGTGCATTCTATACATTTCCATTGTCATTGAAATATCAAACTGCCGATAGATTTATGAAGAAAAAAGACGGAAGAAGATTGGGTCGTGAGGCTGTGCAAAACAAGTCATTGCACGATGGAATTTGCTTGCGATTAAGTGGCCTTTACGTCTTACTGGATTTTGGGCTTTGTGAGAACTTAGTTGACCAAATACAAATTCTTTGTTTTATTTATCCGCAGTTACCATATTTTTAATAGAATTCTTATGACAGTGGGGACTCGAAAATTTATCTAGAATACAAGCTAAATTGGATACAACTTGCTTGGTTTTTTAATTGACCTTGTATGCTGTGTGGATTGTCACAACTCCTCAGCCTTTAGAAACAAAGTGTGACAGATCCTACATAGATATGCAAATATAAAATACCTATATAGAAATATTTTTCAGTAACATCGTTACCCCAAAATTTTAAATTTTTCTGTCACATGGCCCTACGTGGCCCTAGTTCTATAACATCTTGTTATGAATGTTTCTCAGAATATCGGCGGCTGTCTGTTATGTTGAAAGGCAAAATACGATACGTGTAAAAAGTACTATTGCAGAAGAATAAAATTTCGAGCCAGGCATATATCTGAAAATCTATCAAGCGGTGGACAGATGCCTTCTTAAAAACCTTGGTGTATACGGATTTCACTTTTAAAATAGCTGTCAAAATAGTGATAGAAGGAGCAAGTCAGCTTCCTATGCTCCACCCAGCAAGAGCTAGTTATCAAAGGTTGAACGATTTTCCACAAGTAACTTAAAAATTCAGCCGCTTGAACGTATTTGAGAAATATCAACCAAAATGCAATTGGAATAGGCATCTGATTTTCAATTGCAGTGTAATTAAAACGATAGAACAATATGGGTTGAAATACTCTTTACTAATTCTACTCACTAACTCAAATTATGCCTCTATATTGCAACAAAAAACAAGTTAGAATAGCAATTAATTGCAAAACAAGGAAATGAAAAAAACAAAAGAGATTCTTTGTCATTGTGACTTCATGCTTGGTTGTAGTTGATGATGTAGGATATGAGATTTATGATAGAACTAGAAAACTATTGAAAAATGCTTTTTATCATGAGAGGAGTCTGTAAAAAGGGATTTTTGGGAATGCTAATAGTAATATTCGGTTTCAGGGTCCTCTTACTCTATGTTAACTTTATATCTGAACTCAAGCATACTGCAGCTAAGTCACTTGATGACGTCATCATAGCCCATTGCAGACTCCCCCTAGATGACTTTAACTATAGCTAAAACATGACTGCTCTAGGCTGCTATACCTAGAATGTCAGTATAAAAAGAGCATAATTGAATAATTTTACAGTTTCTCTTGAAAATTAAGCTAGCTGACGTTGCTAGAGTGCCTTTACCGTACTACTTGGGGTCTGAATTTCTTATGTACAAAAGCTCCTCCTGACAGTTTTCATTAGGAAACTGGGAACAAGCTTTGCATAACATCCAAAATGTCGTAGTTTACGATAGACGACATACTAATTTTATAATGAACAATCAAATACATTAAATTACATAAATCTGACAAAACTTGTGTGCGATATAAATATAAATGATATTTTATCATTAAGTTTTTCCTGTTGGGATAATTTCAAGAAATCTATAATGCAATTTCCAGCTCTCTGCTTCGGAGTGTCAACCTTCAGTGCTTTGGGATGTATTTGTGTCCAAATGGACTGTACTATAAAAGAAAAGCAGAACAAAGTTAATAGCAGTGAAACCCTGAAAACCCCTTGCTATACGACCAAGCCTGTGTTTTGACATACTACTATCATGATTACTTTCGGATGATTCAGTGTGAACCCAGCAATAACCTCGTTCAAAACAAACTCTGAACCAGAACAATCCTACTAAGATTATTACTGCTGAATGCAAATGTCATAGATTGACGTACAGATGCCAACCGGACATGTTAAACCAAACACGTTGCTCGCATTTCGTAGACGCATAAACCCAGCAAGTCGCGAAGAACTACAGATGCCAAGTTGATGAAATGTTGCTCGCGTTTCGCTGTCGTGTTACGTGTATGCATGAAACCCTATAGCAAATCGCGAGGATGTATCAAAGTTTTGGATTCTAGATTCTTAGATTATGATATATCTTAAACTTCAAAATGCTGTTATTCGTTTCTTTCTTGCGGTGATGCCGTCAAGAGAGAGCAATGGGCGAAGGATGACCAAGGCTTCCATTTTTCATTAGTGCCAAAGAAAGGACAATTCTTTATTAGCATAAAAAACGCAGCTACGTTTTTAAAGCGAATAGATAAAACCATAAATAGATTTATCCTTCAATAATTTTCCTAAAGGAAGTAGAAGCAACTTAACTTATTTTATGTTAATCAATAGGAAAAACAATGATACAAAAAAACAAATTTATCTACTGTAGATGCCTTGTACACATCAAAATGGTCTTCCTACCAAAAAATGTTATTGAAATTTCTTTTCTCATAAAATTCCTTTCTTTCATTTGCAAAAAAATAGTCAGATATCATTACTGTCTTTGGACTCTTCTTTCTTTTATCGTCCAATTCTTCGAGAAATTTAGGAACGATTACTGTTCGTTTTTATACCCTGGTTGGACCCTAATATTTTGCTATCCTTCATTCGTGATGGCATTAATCCTAGGCATTGCTCCAGCAACACTGCAGCAAGGTCAGAAAAAACCGCCGGAACGCAAGTATGCGACATTTAAATAGTTACGTTCACAGATGTACACTCAATTTTTAAAGTAGATTTTTTGTAAGGATATTTCTCAGTCGCCACGACTTTCTTATTTTAGGGTAAAATTTTTTCTTAGAATTGCCTTGATTCCGCAGTTTATGCAACAATATCGCAGTTTATAACATCAATCATTACAACAATATTGGAATCTAGTTGTAGTTTTTTTATAGGCACGCGGTACTGGTTGGGTAACTATACCGGCCACATGCTCGCCTTTTTCTGATTGGCCTAGTTCGATCCGCAATTGGGTATATATATATATATATTTCCTTTCTTGAACTTTTCGATCCTAATTCTGAAGTTGCACACTCTATAGAGTTTCAGAAGAAAAGCTTGAGTTACGATGCATAGTGTTTTGAAGCCATCTTCAAATTTTGTACTGCCAAATAATTTTTAACAATTATAACTTACCATAAGATGAATCTCGAACTTGCATTCATCTTTACTTGGATTAAGATAGACTGGAGGAGCAATCTGACCAGAAGAATCGACGCCGATCAAATGGCCTGTCAAACTGTGTTGGAATGTGATGTAGTGATTTAGTGTTTCGTGGATCCTGAACTGGCTGGCTGCATCACCAACGCCCTGAAAAATCAACAAGAATTTGATATGAACTGATTTGATAACAATTAAAAACATTATAAATTGAATACACAAATTCAATAAAGATTTTTAAGAGCAACAAAATTAAAACATTTGAATAATCAAGCAAGGGCTAATGACAAGGGCTCGTTGGTGTTGTGGCAACTGGGGAGCTTGGGGAATAGTCCTGCTATTTCCTTTATTGCTTTGAATATGTTCCCTTCAGATTTTAATTTTTAGAGAAATTAACTAATTTACCACCTTTGAATTTCCTGTAACACCAAGCATACTGTTTGAAGGTATTCTCTCAGACAAAGTAAAAAGTGTGTCCAAAGACATTTATAGCAGTTGCTAGCCATTGTGCTCAAGGGGGCTGCTCAGGTCCAATTTGTCAAACAAAGTGAGGGAGTCACCCTTTATTTTCCTACAGGTCCAGAAACTTCATGTTTCTGCAAAAAAATTTCTCACAAAGGGGATATCACACCTACCAATGTCCAATTGTAGCTACAGCCCTGAACCATTGTCACATGGATATTTCAACTACCTCTAGCAATTATTTGACAAGATATACACTTACGTGACCGATTTATTAGGACGATCGCCTCCTATTAGGACGACGGGATTATTGAAAGACCATGATGTTATTATTTTTGAAAATTCTTGTCCCAATTGCAGCATAACTAGGTTTATTGTCTTGCTTAAAAATAAATGATCTTCGCAAATAATCATTATTTGCTTCTGTACTTGCCTGGGGACCTTCCAGAAATAATTGGACAAAATATTCATCACTGATGCCTGCCGTGGCCTACCATTCTTTTAATTTTGTTAGGCATTGTTAGTTTATTGTTCTTGTAAGTAACATGTTTTGTAGACTTGCTGCAACCAAACTATCTTGCAGTTTCAGCAAACAAATAACTCGCTAGACCCAAATATTTTATTGTTTCTCATTATCTTTCTGGTCGCTTTTGTGTTTTCGGCATTGAAACTAAAACGTTGATATTTTCCATTTTTCCCTGACATTTTGTTACTTTTCTATCATAGAAAGGTAGGCAATAAATTGAATTTGTTAGGAATCGCATTTTTATTGACACCATTTCTAAAACCCCACCAAAACAGTAAGATTTGTTCAGTCAGAATGTTAGAATGCTAGTTTTGGGGCCGCCATTTTGTTATTCACCATCTTAATACTTTTTGTTACGTAAGTGTACAGCATAAAAAAGTAAACTTACTGTTGCAACAAGCATTCCATTGCCTATGGCCAGATGATAGCCAGGATTTGCAACATTCCGTAAGACAACTTTATTTTCATGTTGTGTCACAATTGTAAAATGAGCTGGAAAAAACACCATTATACCATTTAATAACGCTAGCAAACCTTTCCTTATAACTTTGAGATAGTGTTAAATGCCAAGGATTAAATTTTCACAATTTTCTTCTCTGCTGCTTAATACGGTATTACCAAATCATAATCATGATTATATGATCAAAGATTTTGATAACTAGTAAACAACTCAAATCATCTGTATATGTCGCTGTTTCAACATCCCATTTTTGACAATAATTGTGAGAAAAAAGACATTTTCCAAATGTTGCAACCTAACAAACTACAATACTACATACTCAGCTTGATTAAGAAACCAAAACAGATATAGGACATTTGAGCATAAAATGCTTCTCTCGCGAGAACTGCTGCATGGAAACATTTATGATCACAAGCAGCAATAAGATCACAAGCAGTAAATATTTTCTGCATTTATACCTGAATAATCATTGCCTTGAGAACCAAAGCAGTCAACATGACCAGTAGGAAGAACTCTAAGACATCCACCAGAACACTTGCTCTTTATTTGTATCCCACAGCCTGGCTTGAAACAATCCTGATGAAGAAATACAAATGCTCATATCATGAAAATACAAAACATTGCATTGAACATTCTCTTCAAAACCCCTTCATATAATTTAACAAAACAAGTACTGAAAAGAAAAACACCTCCATCTAGCATTACAAAGATTAAGTCAATATTAAATGAGGTGTGTTATAAAAAGGCAAATTTGTTTCAATTGAAGTATTGTTCTTTTAGAAAGAAAGAAAATTCTGAGACACCCTCTCCCTGCCATCATGCTAAAATACACTTCTGTTCCTTTTATCAAGGTACATATGGCAACACATCAATTCAAAAAACTATTTCAGTCAAAGCCCTTTTCATCCTTCACTTGTCTAGCAATGCCTACCACTTTTTTGAAAAATTATTATTCAATAGGAATTCCTCTGCCTAAAATAGCTCCTTTTTATTTGTTTGAAACAGGTTTTGACTCTGACCTTTGCATGATTCATTTTTGTCAAGAAAAACTTTTAACAAAAATGGGTGCCATTTGGACCACAAAACAAACATGACAATGCATAACGAAAAGACTTACTAGAAGTGGACTAGTGGCATATCTATCAAGCTCTCTTGATGTTTCTTTAGCAATATCAGTAACAAGTTCTGAGCCAGATCTGATGGCCGAGCCAAGAACACCACCTATGAGCCCCTGTCAATTTAAAAGAAAGAAAGAATCCAACAAAAAGTCTTGATACAATTTGTTTCCAAATTACAGGTAAAAGGTAGGACAATTATCAATCTCAACAATAGATAATACTATAGGCTGATAATGTGCTGTTGAATGCTGCGGCGCATTACTAAAATCATACTTATTCAACCAGGGTGAAACATAAACAGACTCATAAATTCATCATAATAAGAAGCTGGAATTATTTGTCAGCAAGATTGTACAAATCGTTGGCACTAGTATTGTTGTCATTGTTGGCATGTTACAATATAAATCCAAGCTCCACTCTGATCTGATTTTGAGACCAAATATGCCTTATTATCTTGTAGCCTAATACTGTAGCCCCTCTCATCAGGCAAACTTTGTTGCATTTCAGACACCATTTGGGAAGTTCTATCTCAATGAAGCAATTTTACAAGGGGATTTAGCATCTGCTATGACATTGGCTAAAGTAAAGGTCAGGTACAGTTTTATCTCATGATTTTAATGAGATTTTAGAAATCATTTTGTTTATCCTGAATGTGAGCAAACCCACTCAAACAGTTTATAAAATTTTTATATTGATTAGATTACATTAAACCACTCCAAAATAAATAGCTCTATACAAAAATATAGACAACAAGCAAATTGTGGAAGGCAAAACCTTTAAAATGCTGATTCTAAAACCGTTTGATTTTTTTTAATATGTTGTGTAGTTTTTAAAATCGAAATTTGCCCTCATCGATGGCAGAGGGAGAACATGGTCAGACCACTGTGTCACATGACCTTGCAACGTAAAGTGGTGGACATGAGGAAATGTTTTGATGTAATGTAGAAGTTTGATAAGGGTTTGATAAGGTTCATGACAGGTAGCAATCGTGCAAATTGTGATAAAAGCACAAAACTTGGTGGAAATACAGAATTCGATAAGCGTAACAAGATAGAGTAGAGACCTATCTTGGGAAAAAACCCTTGTGCTATTTTTAGACTGGGGTACTAATGCCCAGTACTCAGAATCATACTGTGATAAAATCCTTTCTGTTAGCTTAAAAGCCACAAAACGAGGCAAACCTACACAATTTGACTTGCTGAGAAAAAACAAAAGTGCTCACCCACTTCAGAAATACCCCTTGTGTTATTTTTAGAACTGAGGTTCCTGTGCCCAGTACTCAGAACATTCTACTATGGCAAATCCATTTCTGTAAGTGATACAGCCATGAAACTTGGTAGACCTACACAATTTATTTTGCTGAAAAAGACCAAGAAAGTGGTTCTCCACCTCCAAAAATACTGCTTTGCCATTTTTAGACTGGGGTAATTGTGTCCATTCTATGGAACATGATATCTTGGTAAATTTCATGTAGTTTTCTATACAGCCATGAAACTTGGCAAACTTACACAATTCTATTTGATAAAAAAAGACAAAAGTAGCCCCCCACCTCAGAAATACCTCTTGCACCACTCAGAAATATCTTTAAACAGTGGTGCTCGTGTCTTGTTTACAGAACATGATATCATGAAAGCATATTCTGTATGACTCCAGGCATTAAAAACAGTTCAAACCAGGGTGTACATAAAAATGGGGAACTTAAAGCACAACCATTAAATGATTTTATTTCCAAGTTTACTAAAAAACTTAGAATGCCCATATTGTTGTTACCTTATCAAAAGATATGTCAGAAATTTTATCTCCTTATTGTTTTAAATGAAATATGTTGAGCTGTAGCAAATTTCAGAAAAATATAACAATTAGGTACTAAAAAACTCAATTTTCGAATTTGAAAACAGTGCATAGAAACAACAGGCAGTAACAGAATAAAATAAACAAACATTGTACCCTGAAGTTAACGTATTTTCTTCAAATTATTTATAAGAAAATATCATCAAGTAGGTGGAACAGGGCCTGTATAGTAAGAGGAAAGCTTTAAACAAAGATTATTCTACACACTTCGATATGAGCATGATATCTTGAAAAATACACCTTAGGAATCTTAAAAATGTCAGGCCTTGTTCAATCCCTCCCCCTGCTTGGTGACTAGTCTAGTGATTTGGCCTAGTCTAGTGTATTGGATTACTTTGTTTCCAATTGCATTGAGAGGAAATAGTAACACCAAAAATATTAACATTTGAGTAGAACTAGGTATGTTGCTACTTACAGCTGCTCTTTGACTTGTGCTCTGTTAAAGAAGAAAAAAATTGCTATAAGAATCTTGCAACTGTTTGATGGTCCAAGCAGCCCTAGATAACTGACCATTGGTGCAGTTCAGTTCAGTTCAGTTTTCATTTTAAAATTCCACAACATACAAAAATCCATTAAACAAATTAACATGAAAGTAAAATTATAACAAGTTACAAATACGACAAAATAGTTAATATAAATAATTACCATAAACTAGAAATTTGTATGGAGAGGAATTTCTTGAGGAGGAGCTCTCTCAATAGGTAAACTAATCGAGGAGAGAGCACCCCCTGTACTAAAATCCTATTAACTTTTGAAAATCTTCAAAGAATGTTTGGAGGTTGATATAACCAAAAAGCAAGTTATGGAAAAATTTGTTCTAAGTGATGAGACCACTCCCAAGGCATACCAAGGCCCCCACGAAATGCACACATGCAGTTGGTCTAATATTAAAAACTTTGCAAATAAACCCATATAATGCAGCTATGTAAAGACTAACTTGTCTTTTAAGTTCAGCCATTGTCAGGCTTTGGCTATTTTCATGTTCTAAACAATAAGTTCGGGCCTAGGCCAATCCTTGCATAAAGTAGTAAACAGGATTATTCAGCATAAAGGCTAACCAACCTTTTGTTGGAAAGGCACTACTATAGGTGCCTGCTGATTAACATAAACTGTTGTGTGATGTGTTGCCCCAACAGGTGCTGAAATGAGAAATTTAAAGAAATCATAAAGCTAAACTTACAAAGCCATGTAAAATTAACTGTCCATAAACAGTAAAGCTTAATTTCTTTAATCTAAAATTATTGGCCATATTTTTTGCATGTTAACATTTTAACAAACATGGTTAATATGGCAACTGAAATTTTGGTATGCAAATGAAAACATAAAGAGTTAACGAAGGAATGTAGAGAATCTACAAAGATTTATATACACAATTATTCCTTTTGGCTTGATATCATGTCTGCTACACTTATTGTTCTCACAAAAGAATATCAAACTTATTAACATCTTATTATCTTGAAAATATTTTTACACTGATTATGCTAATATAATATTGTCAATCTTGCAACTGTCATTTACACATTTCCAGTTTGCAGAGCATGGCTGATAATGACAAGATCAGGGGCACACCCACAGCCCCAAAACTAAGATGCCGAAGCCAAAAATTATCAGAAAATCCCAGGTGCACCAGCAGCAGATTTGCAAAATACATCCTTGATGCCCAGACATCATTACTTTTTGCTTGTGTACACACGAGGCTGGTTTTGTATACACATACAGGGGCGTAACTTGGCCAATAGGTTTGGGGGTGTGAAAAGGGTTTCTGCCCTGCCAAAATGAGTGGTGCCCTGCAGACCTCGTAGCAAAGGTTTGTCTATAGGTCACTAGTGAAAGCTTTACCAGTGTCATTTTGTCTTTACCAAGAACAAACTTCTAAGCAATAAAAACAAACTTGAAACTTCAATGCCTATGAAATATCTATTATTTTATGGAGCGTAAATTAAACGTCAAATTTGATTTTCCTTTGTAGTAAGGCTTGTATTTCATGGCATATCAAGTTTAGTGAGGTAGGAGGACCCACCATGGTTGGGTCCGACGTGAAGAAAAGTTTTGAAATTATACCTTGTGAAAGGGCTAAAAAGCATCTCCCAGACTAAATTTTAGCAAAATACTATACTGCTAAAAAACTGATCATTGTTTATTAGAAAAAAAGGGAGGGTTTACACTTCCAAAATGAAAACATTGCAATGATACAGAAAGTGATTTACTGAATTAATGCAAATAGAAGAAAAATAATAAAAAATCGAACAAAATCAGCATCTTAAACGTTTATTCTCTTTAATGATAAAAAATTCTTATCTTGACCAAAGTTGAGGCCTTCAGCCCTCTACTCCCCCCAGTGGCGCCATACTGTCATGAAAATAATTTACAACTTAAATTAATTTGTGTGGACTCAACCTTGCCCTCATAAACTTATGCATCAATCATTGCATCCATTGGCTATGACTTTCGGTAAGGAATGCTTTCGCTTTGCTAATAACGGAGCTCTTCCTGACATACCTGTTCCGTTCTCTAAAATGTTATGTCAGGAAGGGAGGTTTGTAACAAATATAATATTTCCATTTCAAAATTCGTAAACGGCCCTTTATGAACTTCAGAGGTGGCGTTTTTGTGTGGCAATAAAGCTCTTCTTGGCGCCCTGCGAAATCGGCTATTTTTAAGATTGGGGGGGTGTCACACCCCCCCCCCCCCCCC